TGGAATTCCCCCCGTTCAGTTGTTCTTTTTCCTCATTAAGGAAATAAAATGCAACCTGAAGATGCAATTTTTAACCCCGGCGGGAATGTGTGTTTCGACTTCATTAAAAGTTGTTTTAAATATTTCTCTAAACGCATTTCCTTATTCCAACTCATCTCATATTTCATTTCTCGCCTTTGCAATTTATTTAATGTTTTATTTTTTTTATTTGTAGTTTTTATGGTTCTTTTTGTGGTGTTGCGCTTTCTTTTCTGTTTCTTTGCGCATTTTTACAGTTTTCGAGTTGTTTCGCTCGAAATGCTGATGATTATTATATGCTCTTTAATTAAATTAACCATTATTTTAATGGGATCTGCATGAAGTTATAAGCGTGTTAAGGTAATAATGCCTACGCTATATACATATATGTGAAGGAAGACGGGGGCTTAGGATCTCTTCTGTGGCAGAAAATCCAATTTAGTTACAGGCAAAATTTTTATGACTTGGCAAAAGCTGACAGCTTGGCTCCAAATAAAGAATAGGGTTTATATTCAAGTTTTATGGAGGGAAAATATAAAGTGGCAATGGTTTATAAATTTGAATAATTTGCACCTATCCCCACACCAGAGGTAATCGTAAAGAATGGGATTTTCTTAGGGTTCTTTTATATTAGAAATATGAAAACTGGTTGAAAAGGTTTTAAATTTTGAATTATTATTATAATTTTTTATTGTTAACCTCTTTTTAATAATTTAAATTCCTGTTAAATAAGTTTCTCCTTTCAATTTCCTGCTATCTAGGTTAAAAGTCACCCAAATTGAGCTTCAAATTAAGCAAAGTTCAATGAAAAACCTTACCCAGTAACTTGAGTAACTCTTTTTGAACTCTTTTGTCATTGAAAATCTTAAGATTTGGCTGTGTGTGTCACGGTCATGCTCCGAAGCTCTTGACAATAGTCACTGTGACTCTGTGACTTCCTTTTATTTGTTTTTTTGGTAGTTTTTTATTTTTTTGTTGGCTGTATTTGGCGCTGTCTTCGCTCTCTTTACTCTTTTCCTGGCGACGGACAGACAACAAACACGAATTGAAAATTGTAAAATGTCGCCGTCGAACCAACAAAAACAAAAAGCGCAAAATAAAAATAGAAAAAAAGAGTTAAGAGTTAGGAGAAATGGGATAGTAGTAGCTAGTGTAATGTCGATACGAATTCGGCGGGATAAACAAGTTTACGGCTTGTTCCAGACGCAGAAAAAAATACAAAAAAAAGGACAAAGTCTACACTGGGAGAAAATATAATAACTATTAAGAAATTAATAATGCAAAGGAAAATATGAGATCTCTATATATTAAAAATATATTTAATTTATTTCCCTAGTACTTCCCAAACCCCCTTCAGTTTTCTCTCTGTGCACAGCAGCAAACAACAAAATGACGCCAAGAAATGCAGATGAGGCTGACAGCAGCCAAAAGACGACGACGACGACCATGCAGTGTGTTCATTGCATATGGGTCGCGATGCTCCATTTCCACATGGACGCCACTGCATCCAGCTGCAGCAAGCAACTCTCCCTCCTTCGCGAAATCCAAACCCATCCTCATCAATTGAGGAACATGCAAGCAGGACAACGACGACGACGACGAAGGAGACGCCGATCTTTGGCTGCATAATTGCCAGTCTAAATCAATGGGGCGCAAGTTGTTGCCGCTGTGCATGTTGCAGTTGCATCAGTTGTTGCTGTTGCACCCATACATGACTCTGTCGGACTTCATTGTCAACGCCGGCTTTGCCGTCTCCATTGGCATCTGCACAGCCACAAGCAACTCCTCGGCATCCACATCGGCATCGCCATCGCCATCTCCATGTCTCGATGTCCCCACGTCTTGTGTCCATGTCCGTCGCGGTCGTCGTCAATATTTGCCATGATCTTATCGTCAAGCGGAGTCATGTCTCTGCCATGGCTTTACTCCCAACCCAGTGGTTACCTCCCCCTTTTCTGCAAGTCTACTTGAGAATCCCCCTTAAAAAAACCCCCCTTGAGCCAGCTGCAACAACAGCAGTCACTTGGGTGCAATTATTTTGGAAAATACTCTTTCTAAATGGGTTATAATGGAACTAAAAGATTTATTATAATTATATTTGCAATTTATATATTTTTAAATATATTTAAAGTAATTAAATGCCCAAGATAGACTCCCTAAAAATGTTCTCCTAAAATTTAAATTGTTTCTTTAAAAAAATAGATCTAAAATTATCCATTGTTAGGGTATTTAATACTCCTTTATATACTTTAATTTCTGGCTATATCGTCCCCCCTTTTATAATCTCGCATGAGTTCCATGGATGCCCCATCATCTTTGTCGCTGAGTTATGGCAAAAGACCTTGGACTTAAGCACCAGCAACGACATCGATACCAAACTGTGCCGTCTTGCACCCGCACTGGCTATGGCTATGGAGGTGACTACTACTACTCCTCCGCGCCAATCTTCCCCCCTCTGAACTACACTCCTGCACCCTGCTCCACCTCTGCCAATAGTGCAATTTGTCATTGCACCGTCAGCGACGACGCGTGCGCCAGCATTGGAGACTGGAGACAACCGGCCACTCAGATGCACCCTGCCTCATGGCTACTCTGCTTCAGATGCACTGACAGAAAATTATTGGAAAACTATGAATTAATTTTAAATATTGGGGGGAATTAATAAAAATACTGACTAAATTTACTACAATTTAAGAAGCATTTTAAAAGGGTTTTTATTTCTTATTGATCGAAGTCTTAACAATTTAAAGACCACAACTTTTCCTCTGATTTTGTATATCCTTTTTTACGCCAGTGTATTTCCAAAACTCCTTCAACGCTTCGATGCCTCGTCATCTATCGCTGGCTGCCATCTGCTTACAGTTAAAGCGACTCTCGGTCGCCGAGCATCTCCTGCTGCGCCGCCTCACGAGCCTCGCCAGCTGGTGGCTGCCAGTGGCAAGGAGGGCCCAAGTCTTGGCTGGAGCTCTAGAGAGATGGCGCTCCTTTGCGACGACTTCTTTATGGCTCTTGATTTTTATGATTCTGCTGTTTAATGGTTCATTTGTGTGAGCCTCCGCAGCGACCCAGCAAGTGAGCATGTGTGTGTGTCTGTCTGGCTTCCAGTTTTTCTTATCGTCGCCTCTATATCTTGCTTAGTTTGTGTGTCTTATTTTTTATAAAATTTTTCTATTTATTTTTTGTATATTTCTTGTCTGCCGGCCTTAATCTCACTCTCCTCCTAGTATTTATATTTTTTCCAGGCCAACTTCTTTACTCAAAAACAAGCTATTTTTATTGCATACTTTTTTGCGGCTGGCCAAAAGGAAGAAAATCGATCGATAACTGGTTGTTTGGTTGGCTTAATGGCAGCCTCCCGAGAAACCCAATGCCATGATTATGCTAATGAGCCGTTGTTGACACGCTCTCCTCTGATCTTAAGCCCGGGATCTTAAGATCTCCATCATCATTAGCCCACCTTTCGGTTAACCATTTACCAAGTCAGCAGTAGCGTCTTCACTTCTTCCTCTACAACTTTGTCCCGTCTCGATCATGGCCATCATTTGCATTGGCCATTTGTTTAACTGCCGCTGCGACACCTCCTCCGGAGCAGGGAGCAGGAAGATGGGAGCTGGAGATGGAGTTGGAGATGGAGTTGAAGCTAAAGCGGTAATGGATAATGGCGCCGCCTCCATTCAAAAATCACTTTATGGCTGCTGCAACTGCCGCCGCCGTTGAGGATGAAGGCTGGAGTCTGCGTTGTCCATAATTGGATGCAGTGCCAATCATTTTAACAGCTACACAAACACGCAAAATCACCAAACCGGCTGGCGATTGCTCCTTTTCGCTTTTCCCATACTCATCTCACTCGAGACTTCCTTTTTAACCAAGCTGATAATGCAAATATTTAGGGGAAAAATGCAATTTCAAACAAGTGTACCTCTTGGAATTTATAAATAATTTTAAATACTTGGAATTAATTTAATAAATTAGATTTCTGAAGGAGAAGTTTTGAAATCTTTTAAAAGGACATCTAAAAGTAGTTAATTAAATATTTTTAGTGGGTTTCCATTGAAAATTCAAAGGAATTTTTTTTATAATTCTAATAAACTAAATTCATACTTTAGTTTTTGAATTAAAGGACATCCAAAATAACATTTTGTTCTTAACAGTAACCTACAAATATTTTTAAAAAGCATCCAAAAGTATGCAGTGATTAGTTTTAGTTTCCAAACTTTATATTAAAAACTTCTTCTATTCTAATTCCTTTTTAATTTTTTGATTATTACCTTAAGAGTTTTGTTTATTATCCTAGAAACTTGTCTTCCTTAAGCCTCCCAAACTACAGGGTATCGCAGAATGATAGTTGAAGGAGAAAACTTGTGCTGTTGGCCACTTCAAAGCGGTCTGCAGTCACAGGACCAGGCAGAGACCAGCTCTCATCTTCATCCTCTCCTCTGTCTGTCTACTGACGCCACTCCCGCTGCCACCTCTGCCGGGTTCTGGTTCGGTTCGCGGTCTCAATGACAATTGGCGCCATAGCCGCGGGGTTGCGTTTGGGGGCTTGGTTCGGTGTCTGCGCGTTTCGACGGCGACGACGAGGATGAGGATGAGGATCGTTGCTCCTTGGGCCATTGCCGGGTTGTTTGTTTATAATTAGCCCACTCGCTGGCCAGCTCACTGCGACTGCAATTCAAATTGATGATGGCTACTGGTTTTGCCAGGCTTCAACTGCTAGCATTTTTATGGTCGATCAATTTTGTAAAGCAGCCTTTTTACACTCTCACAGAGGCTGCACAGTTATGTGGCTTTAAATTAATAAAATAAGGTTTTTAAATAAAAAATATTCTCATATTCTGGTTTTTATTTGTTTAATATTAAAATATTCTAAATAAATTTTAAAAAAATCGAATGAAAGCTTCCCTCAGTGCACTTCTTCCTTACAATCAATCTCTTTTCTAACAACTCTTCTAACTTCTCTCTTGATTCTCCTCTTTTTCCAGGCGGAAATGCTCATGGATGATGGTCTTCTGGCCACTGGACATGTTCTCGGCTTGGCTGGACATCCGCATGGACTGGTTGTGGGAGCCCTGGCACCGCCACCGCCGCCGCCAATGAAGCAGCCATCGCTGGACAAGAAGCGCGAGCAACAGCTCAAAGGCAGCTCTTCTGGTGGAGCTGGAGCCACGCCCACGCTGGAGTATCACTACCAGATCATGTATGCGCACTGTGTGCAGCAGCAGCAGCGGGAGAGGGAGCGGGAACGGGAGCGGGAAAGGGAACGAGAGCGGGAGCGCGAGCACCTACCACATGCCCATCCCCTGCCGCATCAGCATCGCGCTGTGCTGGTGGGCACCGCCCCACATCCCCATGTGCCGCACGTGCTCCATCCGCCGCCGCCCGCGCTTAGCTCCTCGTCGGCCTTCCAGCCCTGGGGACCGACCACCACCAAGGCCTTCCTGCATGCCTACAGCGCCACGCTGTCCTCGCTGCCCTACGCCTGCCAGGAGCCGCCAGAGTTGCAGAATCCGGAACGTGTGGTCCGGAGCACGGACAAACGGTATGCGGAGCGAACGTATCAGCCGAATGTGGCGCTGGCGCCGCGCAAGAGCATACTGTCCAAGGAGCGAGAACGAGAGCGGGACAAGGACAGGGAGCGACTGGAACGCGAGGCGGCTTTGATAGAGCGCCAGCGGTTGAGAGATAAAGAAAGGGACAGCCATCAGGTGGTGCACATCAAGCAGGAGCGATCCCAGACACCAACGCCCACGCCTACATCCACGCCCACAACGACGCCGGAGGAGGAGGAGGCACTGCTGGAGGTGGTAGAGCCACCGCACACCTCCTCCAGTGGCAGCAACTCCCCCGAGACGGCTCCACCGCCGACTTCAGCAGCTCCGCCACCCTCTAACCTCCGTAACATGCGCAGTCCCGAGGAGTTTTCGGCGGGCGGCAGCAACGAGATTACCTCCTCCACCTCACCGCATCACCAGCAGCAGCAGCTGCAACAGGGGCATCAGCAGCAGCAGCAGGGGCATCCACAGCAGCAAGTGCAGCCGGGAGCTCCTCCTCCGCCAGCCAAGTCGCTGCATGTCATTGCCACCGTTAACCAGCATGCCAAACTCTTGCCCAGCTCCAGCTCCTTGCCAATGCCGAATGGTAGCAGCTCCTCCCTCACGGCCACCCACAACGAACCGAGTCGGATTCGGATCAACAAGAACCTGATGATGAGTCAGCAGCAGCAGCAGCAGGTGTCCCCTCATCTCCACCAGCATCATCACCACCTGCACCACCTGCCCGCCCACCATATGCATCACTATAGCAGCCATGGCTACTACAAGAGTCAGGCACCGTCGCCCACTCAATCCTCCAGCGCCGGAGGTGGCCTCAATCTGAGTACCCACTCCTCCAACGTGGTGAGTTCGCCCCACCCCAAGGGCACGGCGAATGGGAAGCCCCATTTGGGCAGCGAATTCGAGCTATCCACGGATACCGATGATACGGATAGTCTGAACGGAGAGCCCGACTCCAGTGCCATGTTGCCGCCGTGGGAGCAGGCGGTGGAGTCCCTGCGCGACACACGGCCCAGGGATCGGGAGCGAGTGTTGCATTTGCTGCAGACGCTGCTCCAGGAGAACCATCAGTATCGTTACAATAACCTCCAGCTGAGCGAGCTGCTCCACAAGCAGGACGCGCACATAGCCGATCTCACGGAGCAGTTGCAGCGCTATCGAAGGCAATTCGAGGAGCAGGACTGCAAGGTAGATCTTCGCAAGATGCCATTTAAGAAGCAGCAACAGACGACGACCCAGTTGGATGAGGTCTTGAGCAAACCAGCAGCGGAGGATGAGGAGGATCAGGAGGAACTCGAGGAGGAAGAAATGGAGGATCGAGCCAACAATAATAAGCAGCAGGAGGCAGCGGCTTTGATGAAGGCGCCAGCGCCTACCAATGGCCTGAGGAGGAGTGCCTGTTGCGAAGTCCAGGATTTTGAGAAGCCAGAAGAGCCGGAAAACAAGAGAATAAAACTCCAAGAGGACGAGAAAAACCCAGCAAGCCAAGTCCAGCAGGAAGAGGACAGTCCTCAGGCTCCAGAGAAATCCAGAGAAACGAGTGAGAAGGTCACCAAGAGTCCGCAGCCCAGTCAAATTTCCAGCGATGATGAGGAAATGGAGGAAGATGAGGACGAGGAGGAGGATCAGGCGGATCACGAAGAGCAGGAGGACGACGACGATGAGGAGGATGAAGAGGTTCAGGCCCAGGCTCCGCATAGCAGTGCTCTGGCCACGCCCCCCACAGCCACCACCCCCATTTCGCCGGATTCGGCGGCCACAGCCGGAAATTGTCAGCTCTTCGACAGCAGCAACAGTAGCGACGAATCCTCCATGAAGAAGGCCCAAATGTCCGCCTGCCATGCTCTTGAGAAGATCACCAGCCATGTGGGTAGCGAGGAGACCAAGGAGGATAGCCAGGCGAATAGCCAGGAGGATGACGAGGAAGACGAGGAGGAGGAGGAGGCGGACGAAGACGAAGACTCCGAGGACGATGAGATGCCGCTGCAGCAGCGACAGCAGCGCCAAAGGAGCACAGCGCGACCTCAGACTATACTCAGTGGTTCATCCTCAGCAGGACACCACCATCCACAGACACACACACAGGCACAGGCACAGTCTCAGTCACAGTCACACCCACATCCACCCATGGCCACCAAGGCCAGCAAAAAGCAGACACCACCACTTACAGCAACAGCAACCACAGCCACTTCAACCACAACGACAACGAACTGCGAGTTACAAATCAAAAAGGAAATAGCCTAGAGATGGGGAAACCTCTCGGAGATCAGCTCTTCTACACACGAAAAAACCGGGCAGATCTATAATAAATATTATTATTGATTTTGTTTTCAAGAAAAACTTTTAGATTGTAATTTTTACACAATTGGTATGATTTTCTTTCAATTTTCGGTTAGCTTTGCTTGCCTTTTCCTCTCCAGGCTTCAACTATGATATCGATACTACATTTTGTTACAGCGTAATTTTAAATATCGAAAAATATCGAATTTTATATATCGATATTATTGCCAAGTATTAAATAAATTTAATTAAATTTATGTATTTGACTCTTTTTCGATTATATTGTTGAATATATCAAAGAGACTATCGATTTATGGCAACGTTATCGCTTTATGTATCAATTTTTTCGTAAAATTTAAAAACCTTATCGATTAATAGATATTTTCAATCTTAAACTGTAACCTAAAACCCGAGAAATATGATTTTTTTGTTAATCAAAATTTATAATTATAAAACTTTTAAATCAAAATCAATAATAATATTTATTTCTGTAAAACTGGCAATCACACAGAGTTGTATCTAAGCTAGAATCCCCTTACTTCTTTATTTTATCTAATTTTTTATAGAAAGTGCAGCCCAAATTCAAGCACAAAGCCCGAAACGCACAGGCATTACCCAGTTTTAGAGGGTATATAATTTTATAAACTTACAAATACTTTGGCAAAACCAGAAGGAAATAAAATATAATTTTTAACTTTTTGGAAAAAACGTTTTCAATGGAAAACTACCCTTTGACGTCTTCAAAATTTAAATAAACAATTTCAAAAACGCTTTCACATAGCTTGAATTGATCTCACTTGTAAAAACAAAAACAAAACCAACAAATACAAATACAACAAAAAATTATTTAGGCTTCCCTATTTCGAAAACATCTTTCAAAAACGTTGCTTGCAGAAATTATATAAATGAAACCAAAGCTTTAAAAAACAAAAACAAAACAAGAAACAAATTTTACATTTGTTGTATATTTGTTCAACGACCAATTTGTGCGTGTGTTTTTTACCACTTACTTATACCGCTTAAAACCTAATTAAGTTATTATTTTTATTTGTAAATTTTTGTAAGCTCTGCAAGACATTAAAAACCGAAACGAAATATTCAAAGCTTCGAGGCAGGCAGCTGGTTCTTATAAAGATTGTAATTAAATTTTAGTTTTTAGATCTAAAATTAAGTTGAACAGACAAAAAGGAGAGAGACACAGAGAGAGAGAGAGAGGAAGGAAATACACACAAAAATGAACCCACCACAGAGATAACAACAAAAGAAACAGAAACAAAAAACAAAAGCTAAACAATTCTAAACTTAAAGAAAATGTGAAACAAGAAAGGGAGATATGAGAAACAAAAATAAATATATTAATAAGAAGTTGCCGCGTTAAATTTATACAAAATATGAAGTAATATGCTAATAGAAGATGAGCAGGATAAACATATACATTAAACATTAAACAGTAAACATTTACGCGTCGTAACCATAAAGTTAAATATTTATTGTAGCTGCTACTAGTTATAGATCGAGCAATTTTCTTAATTGTTTAATTAATTAATTGTTTTAATCTGTTCTTATCTGTCACCTTGTACGCTTCTTGCTCTTCGTAGGCATTTAGTTATCTTTGTAGATTTGTAAACACTTTTTGCTAACTAGTTGTTAAGGCTTCTTTGTCTTATTTTTCTTTCATTTTGTAAATATATAGTTTTCCCTTTTGACTTTTGAGACTAGAGAAAGTACTACGGATTTTAGTTGCCAACACTCTGTGAGAAAAAAAAAATAAATATATATATATATATAGTATACATCTTCTGGATAACAAACCAAGCCAAGAGCCAAGCGAAGGGAGCGCGCAGAGATTTCTAAAATCTATAAACTTTTGTTATAACAAAAACAAAAACCGAAAAAACATATTTCATAAATTATTTATGCCTGTATATGTGTGTTTGTACTTTCTAAAAGAACACAAAAAAAAAACATTTCGTTCTGTATTTAAGAATACAATTTCAAAAACTAAAATTAATCGATACAAACAAAAAATATTTAACAACCGCAAATTCATACCAAAATTTGTCTAGAATTTAAGCATAAAAAAGATTTTGTAAAATTGTATAAAAAAAGAAGAAGAAAAAACTTTGACAAGTAAATATTATATGAAAACATTAAGCATGAAAAACCAAGAAAAACAATTGTTATGCATATTTAAGTAAAAAGTTAAATACAATTATATATGCAACACAAAAAAGAAATTACGATTGCTATGCAACAACCAATAAAAAAAATAAATTAAAAAATATATATACAAATTATTGTAAATGAATTCTCTCCAAACAATTTTGTGTTTCATTTTCCAAACCGAATCCAAAAACCAGAACCAGAACGATAATAAACTTAATTAAACGTAATTAAAATCATAGTTAAACAGGAGTGCAGTGCAGGTTAATCAAAAAAAAACGTCGAAAAAAACGGTTTTCAAAACATTTTCTCGTGTATTTATGGCCAAATTTTACAAAAACCCGAAACACAAAACATTTTTTGTATCATCTTTTTTTGCTAACAAACCCAAAGAGATAAACAAAACAAACTAAACAAACAATCATTTTTATATATAATTAAAACGATTAAAATTAAAATATATATATATGGACAAATTTTACATAACCCGAGTGTTTATATATGACATTATATGATATACTTAAATTTAAATACAAGATAGCTCGCGACATCTTTGCCCCGCTTGATATTGTTAAAAAAATAAACTTAAAATATAAAAATAAACAAAAAGAAAACGTGCAAAGGCTAAGCAGCAACCAGAAGAAATCATAAAATAATGGCATAAGTTAAAAATAATAATAATAAGCAAACATGCAGCAACAAATCCGCGTCTTGTCAACAAATACAACATATATATATATATACAGCATTATTATATAGATATATATATATGTGTGTGTGTGTGTCAGAAGAAGCAGAAATAAAATGTACAAATTGTGGAGCAAATATATAAACAATAGAAAATGTAGTGAGAAATTCGATCAAAGGGAAGAAGCATAAGAAAAAAAAAAATGAAAATGCACCACAAAGCAAATAAAGTTTAATCAAATTAAACAGTTAATGAACATAAAAACATTTGACTTCAACGTTTCATATTTAAGTAGTGCAGAAACAAATAAATGCAAAGAAAAAAACAAAAAACAAAAAAAAAAAAAACAAACAAATTATTACACACATGTAATGAAAACAACAAAAAAAAACAACAAATAAAAAAGCGATAAATATTATGCAAAATATATCACACGTGACTTTTATTTTACAAACAAAAATGGAATGAAATTGCAGTGGAAAATTTAAGAAAGTAAGGCTAGTTAAAGGCTTAAAAATTGGGTTTCTTTAATAATAAATTAAGGCAAAAGTTTTAGTTATGGTTGTAATTTTTAAAATATTAACAAAGCCATTTCGTTTATTTTTGTTAGATTTTCTGTAATTTTTTATAAATTTATTTTATGTGAACTTTTAAATGTTGTATTTATTTATTTTATTTTTCTTTTCATTTTTGTTTCTATTTCTTTTTTTATAATATATATATATTATAATTTTTTAATTATTTTCTTAATTTTATTTTTTATTTTTTTATTTAGACAATATTTTACTTGTTTTCTACGCTGTCAACTAACTAAAGCGACAACTATCGGGAACATAGCGCTCCGTGTAAATAATATTTATTATACCCTTGCAGGATATTATAATTTCAGTCAGAAGTTTGCAACGTAGTGAAGGAGACGTTTCCGACCCTATAAAGTACTTATATTCTTGATCAGCATCAACAGGGGAATCATTCTAGATATGTCAGGAAGAAATCGATTTTTTTGCCCTTTTTGCAAAATTTCATAAGGGGTTACATCATTAAAATTTTTGATTTTGATAAAAAATTGAATTTTCAAAATTTTTAAATGAAATATGCAGATTTATTAACTGTAGAAAATCTTGCACAGAACAGTTTTCCGATTTAAAATTAATGCTCTTTTGGTCGAGTTATGATATTTTTAATTTAAAGAAAAATCAAGAAGTTTTTTAATATAAAAAATCCGATTTTATAATACAAAATAATATTTTTCTAAGTGAAGGAATCATTTTCGACCCCATAAACCATATATATTCTTGATCAGCATTAACATGCGAATCTTTCTAGACATGTCCGGAAGAAAACGATTTTTTGGCCATTTTTGCGAAATTTGATAAGGGGTTACATCATTAAAATTAACAAAAATGGCCAAAAATTTTGATTTCTTAAAATTTTAAATTTGGTATGCAGTTTTTTTAAATTAATAAAAACTAACACAAAACTGCTTTCCGAATCGAAATTAATGCATTTTTGGCTTAGTTATGATATATTTTAATTGTTACCTGCAAGGGTATACAAACTTTGACTGGCCAAAGTTAGCTTTCTTTCTTGTTTTAATATAATATAAATTAAGAAGTTAAGTACTCTAAACAATCTTGCTTAAATTAATCTACATTTTTACAGAGTCTAGTTGTATATTCTACATGTATGAATGCAATCATGTTAAAGATATTTTACATATAGAGTTGCCAGAGTGTTGAAATTAGAATTACATCCTAAAATTAAAACCTTTAGTTAAGTTTTATTTTTTTAAATTACTATTATGAAATATTTTTTTTTATATATTTATAAATGACATTTTATATTTTTTTTATGAAAAAATTGTCCATAAAACAACAAGTGGCAAAGCTTAAATTACATTGATTTACGAATTTGATGGAATACTTAAAAAAAGGGTCTTAACTTCTCAATGCTTTTAAGAAATAAAAGCAGAATTCTAACATTTTTATAGGTTCATCCAAAAAGTGGAATGTCACCCCCCTTCACTCGCTGGATCTTTGTATAATTACACATTTAAAACATTTCCATTGACTAATCCACCGATTTTAATTTCATTATAGTTACAGTATATAAATAAACCCCCTCCTAGGCCTACATCATCAGTTCTCAATGAAGTACTTTTTGTGTAGGTTGCAGCTCATTTTATTTGTCTATAACTAATCCAACTTCCTATCCCAAAGGTCTTATTTTTTTGGCCACGTCTGTGGCAGGCCGTTTTGACAATGAATACTATCAACTTTTGGCCAAGGAAAATGCGGATAAGAATTTAATCACATCACCGCTTGCCCTCAAGATCGTCTTGGCCCTGGCTTACGAGGGAGCCAAGGACAACACGGCCGTGGAACTGAAAAATGTTTTAGATTTGGCAGAAAGGGAAGATGTGGCTGGCCAGTACAAAGCGTTTTTCAAGGTTCTGGCAAAGCGTGAGGCAAATCTGGCCATTGATATTGCCAATAGCATTTATGTAAATGAAAAATTCCATATAATTCCCGAGTTTAGCAAGTTGGTCACGGAGTCCTTCAAATCGCAAGCTGTAGGCATTAGTTTGGGGAATGCCGAAAAGAGTGCAGAAATTGTTAATAATTGGGTCAAGGAAAAGACGCGTGACAAGATCCCGAATGCCGTTACGGCCAAGAATATCGATGCAAAACTTCAAATTTTGCTGGTAAATGCTTTTTCGTTCAAAGGAAATTGGCTGTTTAAGTTTCATGCGATGAAAACAAAAAACGAAAACTTCACACCGGCATCTGGCAAGGTAGCTCCCGTCAAGATAATGTCGCAATATGGATTCTTTAAAGCCGCCGACTGGCCCGAAATTGATGCCAAAGTCTTGCAGTTACCCTATCACAAGTCGAGCCTCTCCATGTTCATCTTTCTACCCAACAAACCCAATGGCCTGGGTGCTTTGGAGAATAAAATTGGGGATTTCAATTACACAAATCTGACTAGCAGACGGGTGCACATAAAGCTGCCAAAGTTCAAGATTGATTTTGCAGCAGAACTTTCCGGCATTCTCAAAAAGGTAGAAATTTAGTTTATATTTTTTGGAATTTTTTTCTAAAGGAAACTTTTCCTTACAGTTGGGCATCGTCGACGCTTTTGGTGCTAATGCCAATTTGCAAGATCTTGTGCAAGAGAAAGGTGCTGCGATCAGTAAAGTCATCCAGAAAGGCCTCATTGAGGTCAATGAGGAGGGTTCTGGATTTATTTCCATGATAGGTGAGTAGTAGGTTTGAGTACATTTTGTACTTTTATTAATCCTTTCATATTTTATAGGGATTCGTGATTCCTTTATTTCCATTAAGCCCCTACTTAGTCCTTTGGACTTTCAAGCCGTTCATCCCTTTGCCTATGTCATTCGGGATGAGAAATCCATTTATTTCCAAGGACACTTTGTCAAGCCGGAGTGATGGAAAATATGTAAGCTAACATAAATTTGGGAAATATATTAAAAATAATACAAAATTTCAGACTATACCGTTGCCATCTTGGGCTGTTGTGCCTGTACTTTGCAGGCAAGGCATATCTCACGATATTAGGCAAACGTGATCTAAAATTTTAAGCGAGAACTCTTGATAATATAACAAACCCCACAGTTAAATATGCAAATTTCATAGAAAAGATTAAATCTTAAAAAACAAAGTAAAGTTTTTAATTGGGTTTAAAAAAACAACCTACCAGACTACAACGGATACTGTCTTTGGCTGTCGCGCCTTGCAAATATAGAGCCTCTCTGATAAACAATTTATATCATTCAACCCAAATGCCTTCGCCGGGAAATCATCGTGGCCCAGTTCAGCACAGTTCTCGGTACCGTTTAAGTTATTTGGCTCTCCTGGGTACCATATATCCAAATCGATCGGTTTTCCATCGCCCCAAACGTATGATTTGGGGTCAGCCAGGTTAGTGCCAGAGGTCCAGAACATTATATGAGTGTATGAGTCATTGAGATAGCGATTCAGGATATTGAATTCATCAAGGGTTTTGAAGTCTACTAGCTCGGCACCCCGCTCTGCACATTCTTGGGCGGCGGCAAACCAGTTAACCTTTTTTGCCCCCTGTATATAGTAATAGCCATCGCCGATCTTTTTAAAGGGTCTGGTGGGTACATTCAGTTGCTCAGGAATTCCTACAGGACTAAAATGATTTAAATCCAATCCTGTACAAGGTCATTACAGGAGCTCACCATCTGTCACATTGGTTTTGATATTAAAGGTCAAGGACACAGAGAGTATTCCCAAAAAAATGTAGAATCCAGTGTACATGGCGAAGCAGGTCAAAGAAACTAGTTGGACATCATTCTAAACTATCCTATTTTATAGCCTTTCCTTTGGTCACAAACCCCTTGACTAATCCAGCGATTTTAATTTCATTAGAAAGCATATATCATTTCTGTCTGGTGCTTCTTAGACTTGTGTACATTATCCAGTTTTCAATGAGGCAGAAAAAGTGTTACGTTCTAGTTCAAATCAATTTTTTATACAAAACTAATCCAATTTCATTTCCTAAAGGTCTGACATAGCTTTCACTGCTATCGACTTCTGGCCAAGGGAAAAGTGGAACAGAATCATCGGTTAATATGGTTTTTTCATGGTTTTCTGGAAGCCAGGGAGAAATCTGAAACCAAAACATCAAAACCAGAGACGGATAGCAGACGATAGCAGGTCCCATTCCTCAGGGCTTTCAAAGTCTATTAGGATCTCATCCCTTGCTGCACAACGTTGGGAAGTGGCAAACCAATTACATCTATTAACCAAATTTATATAGTAGTAATGATGGCCTAACTTTTCAAAGGGTGGCGTGGAATATATCAGAGAAATGGAATTTCTACTGAAACAAATTATTAAAATCCTATCCTGTAAGAGGACATGGCAGAAACTCACCAATTTTTACATTAGTTCTTTAAATAAAGGCCACAATCAGGAGTATTCATTCAGCATCCCTAAACTCCTATTTAAAAAAAAAAGAGAAGAGAAGGGAATAAAAACAAGTATGAGAAAAGCAAAACAAAACAAATTTCGTTTACCTGTTTTTTTTAGAGAAAATTGAGAGAGCCTAAAGAGCGACCTGTTACCAGTCTCTTCTTCAGTCTTCAATTCAACGCGATGGCATAAAGAACGCTGAACGCTCAAATAAATTACTATTTTTCAAATTCAAAATAAAAGTGTTAAACTTAAAAATCTTTATCATTAATAAAACCTATAATATAACCAAATTTGTGTAAATAATTTCCCATAATTGTGGCTTTAACTATTTTTCCCCAAGATCTTTTTGTTTGTGGAATTGATTTTGGCTTGGTGTTGGCCAAGAATTTTCAGCCAGTAACCGGTTTCTGAGCTCCCACAAAAAAACAAGCCATTAAAAAGAGAGAAAACTAAGAGACAGAGCAGAGAGGAGAGAGTGTTTAAAGCGTGGAACGTGCAAGTGAAAAACATAAACAAACCGATTGGCAAAAACAAAAAAGAAAACTAAAACCATAACAAAGGCTATGGCAACACGTGCAACTCTGCCAAAGTGATTAAAATATTTGAAATATTTTAAATACATAAAAAAGATTTATAAATCCCTAAAAAGTCATGAGTCTTCCCCAATTGATCGATGATCTGCAGCGCCTGTCCGAAGATCAGGATAGTGCAGATGTTGTGTTTATTTGCGGCCGAGATGAACGGATTTATGCCCACAGATTGATGCTGATGGCGCGGTGAGTTTTCACAAGAAAAACTAAAAGAACAACATATAATTTCCCTTTTTTTTCAATGATTATTTAAATAATCAAAGAAGGCAACAAATTTTTAGAATATTTAGATTGTGTCAGAAAGGACTTCTGGTCTTAAGTTAACATATTTTGAAGTTTAAAATATTGATAAAATGTTTTTAAAAACATCTCCGAATTCTCAGGCACCCCTGAAGATCATTTTTATATTTTAATAAATTTTCCTTATAATAAAAATAATTCAAAACAGAATTATTATACGTAAATTCCGCTTCAAATTTAAAAATATTAAAATCAAATTCGATTTCCTTTTAATTTTTGTAAAATCAAATATACTTTTTCCCCCTAAAAGATACCCTATAACAAATTTGATATTTCCCCATGTAAAAGACTCCTCAGGATCCTCTCGTTTTCCTTTTTTGGTCTGCCCACGTACAATGTTGCGTGCTGGAATCTGAGGCATCCAATCCACGAGATCATTCAATTAATTTCCACTCATTCCCAACTCATTTCAGTTGCAAGAGCTTCAAGACCGCCAAGCGGGGTGAGGTGTGCCGGATACCCGGATGCACTGTCTCCCCAGCGGCACCGGGTGCCTCGACGCCAACAACTATAAGATTGCCGCACGTAAATCCCGAGTTATTCAGGCAATTCATACTTTATGTGTACACAGCCAAGGTGAGTTCAGGATAAATTCAATCTAAACTATATTTAATTTATGAATAAGTTTTTTTTAGTTGGTTTTGCAGGACTCGCAAGTCTTCCAAATGATGATGATGGCCCAGGATATGGGAGTGGTTGAGCTGAGAACAGCCTGTGAGGATCATGTTATATCTACCTTATCGGTGGATAATGCCTGCACATTTTTAACCGCAGTAATGGATATACATGAGAAAGCAGGTTGGTAAATTTTAATTATTTAAATTTGGGATTTTTAAATATTAATTTTTAAGACCAGACAAAAAGTGAAATAATTTTCAGTGAAGTTAACTAAGTTTCACATTTTTGTACAGCATTTTTTAGGCTATAATCTCCTTAAATTTTATTTATAGGTGTCCCTTTACCCTATTTTTACTTATATTTAAAACAAACAGAAATATCTTTTGAAAATTCGCGCCCAAAAATATGTAGAAAATGGTTTCACCATGTCAAATGTAAAAAATGTCCAACATTTGGTATTTTCCCTTAACAGCATTGAAAATTCTACCTGTTAAACAACAACATTTAGTATTTTCTCTTAACAGCACCCAAAACAGTGCCTGTTAAGCGAAACAATCGATAGGAAAAAAAACACCTGGCACGTTGTGTTATCAAAATCACGTAACACACATGTTTTTGTTGCATTTAAACAGTTTATTAATTAAAACTAATTAATAGCTGGCCGAGTTTTGTCCATTGATCCGCCGCATAAATGCAGATCCTTAACTTTGTCTCCTAGAATTTGGATTGTTCTCGCTGTAATCTCTGGCCGTACGTCCGCGAGATGAGGTTCCACGAGTCCATAAACCGGTCCATGCACATGGAAATGCATTTCTGCATTTGAATAATATAAACAGATTATAAATCTTTACTTTTTAAAGTTAAACTTTTGCAATCTTGCCTGTTCGGAGGAATCGAGCGAGGTGCCCGGCTTGTTGATACACTTTTTAAAGCACTTTTGCGTCATTTGTTGGAGCAATTCCTGGGCATTCGCAACGGCAATCTGTTGCTTCACCTGGTCCATCAGCTCTCCTTTGTCCACATTCGCCATTGCCATAACTTTGTGGTGTTTATTTTAATTTAAAAGCAAAAACTTCGGCAACAAACTTTAGCAATCAGCCAAGAAATTTAACAGCAGCGATAGTTTGCTTTAGAAGGTATATCGATAACAACTTTATGATATCGATTGCACTCTGTTAACTGTACAGAGTAAACAGAGTGTCTGTTTGTTAGGTTTTTCTTAAAGAAATCTTTATAAAACATATTTTTATGTTTCTTAAGACATAAATACAACTTTTCTTCTTAGTTTATTAAAGTTTCTGTCAACTTTAACAAGTTTTTATAAAAGTTTAGAACAGTTTCTTCGCTTTTTACTTTGGTATTTTGGTTTTGACCCACCTGCAGCCACACTAATATAACAAGCCGGCAAAAAAAAGGAAGCTAAATTTTTTGTTAAATCTTCGGCCTTTAAAAACACAGAAAAATGTCGTTCAAAGGCAATCCCAAGGTGCAAAAGGTGATGGTCCAGCCCATCAACCTGATCTTCCGCTACCTGCAGAACCGTTCCCGCGTCCAGGTCTGGCTCTACGAGAACATCTCGCTGCGCATCGAGGGCCACATCGTGGGCTTTGACGAGTACATGAACCTGGTGCTGGACGACGCCGAGGAAGTCTATGTGAAGACGCGCCAACGCAAGAATCTGGGCAGGATAATGCTGAAGGGCGATAACATAACGCTAATACAGAATGTGAATCCCACAAAGGATTAGGAACAAGGACCTCCACCCCCACCTACGATAGCTGCACGTCGTAATTATTAGGTTTAAACACAACAAAAAATATGTAAAAGCAAATTTCTAAAGAGATTCTAAGGAATGTACATTCGTATAAATGTTAAATAGAAATGTTTAAGAAGAGGAATGTTTATTCAAATAAAATGTAGACTTTCTAGGAAGGAAATATTGAGAGGTTTTTGAATGGGTCAAGGAGAAGGGAGAGGTTTTTGCTTTATATTTCTAGGCTGGTGATTATATTTATATGAGAAGGTATTATTTATTATATTAAAACAAAACTGATCTAATAATAATCATATTTTTCTCTTTACTTTTCAGGTGCCAAGTGCGCTGCCTCATTTATGGAACGCTGCATCATCTTCATAGGCGAAAATGCCATTGAATGCGTGAAAACCAATGCCTTTTTGACTTTGACTAAGGATGCCATCATCAAGATTATTTCCTCAGACTATGTAAGGACCAAGCCAGCTTAAGAAAATCAAGAAAATTTATGTATACCTAATATTTTTTTATATTTTCTTTTAAAAACCCTCTTCACCCCCATAGTTCTGCCTTGAGGAGGAGGAAGTATGGCGCTGTGTCTTGGCCTGGGCCAAATATCAAGCCGGAGTCACCCAACCCACTGCCCATTGGACCGAAGAGGAGCGTGCTCGTGTCTGTCAACATCTAAGCGGTGTTATGGGTCATGTTCGCCTTCTTCTAATCGACAGTCAAGTTTTCGCCGAGGAAGTGGAACCCACGGGGGCAGTGCCCATGGAGCTATCCCTAGAACGCTATCGCTATGCCGCTCTGCATGCCAACAAAATGATGGAGAACGACAAGAGATTACAGCCTCGCTTGACGGTGGCCGTTAATATGTTTCCGGGTTCTCAAATCCTTAGGAATGACAAGTTACCTTTGCAAACGGTGCTCAACAATTGGTATGGAGTGCCGAAGCAAACCTGGAGATTGGTTTTCAGGGCATCCACACATGGCTTTGACTCGGGTTCCTTTCATCGTTACTGTGATGGTGTGGCTCCCTGCATGGTCATTGGTTTGGGTGCTCATGGAGAGATCAGTGGTGGCTATACGGATGTGGCCTGGGCCAAAACAAGTCGCAAGGGTGGCTATGTTCACTCGGATCGAGCTTTTCTTTTTACTTTGAATCCTGCCAATGGCGAGCAGCCTGCCAAATTTGATATTGTGAAGAAACCCTATGCTATATGCTATCATCCAGAGTGAGTTGTGTTTTATAAGGATAAAATATACATTTTTTGGGTGTATATAAAGGGAAAAACATATCGACAAACAAAATTGATCTTAATATCATCTAAAAATGTTGTAAATCAAAAGAGAAAGAGCCTAGTTTTGCTGCAAACTTCATGCTCATTATACTTCCCTTCACAGTTGCGGTCCCATTTTCGGTGCTGGCGCGGATCTGCTCATCTCCAGCAATTGCCAAACCAATATAGACTCCTATTCAAACCTTCCCCACTCCTATGATGGCCCTAACGCCGCTCACTTGACTTTGTTTGGCGACTACAACTTCACCATCAGCGATTACGAGGTGTACACTCTCGCCTCCCCTGGAGGAGGAGGTGGAGCAGGAACCGGAGTAGGTGGACCTGGTCACAGCCACAATCACAACCAGAACCCAGCTCCTGGGGTGCTGCCCACAAAGGGGAAATACGATAGGTATTAGACATCATAGTTGTAGTTGCATAAAATAAAAACTATTTCCTTGAATCAATCCGATTCCAAAAACATAAAAAACACTCGAATATTGTAATCCCAGATCCGCAACGGATTGGGTTCATGACTCCGCCCAAGGTAAAAACCAGAAATCGAAAGGTAATTAATGAATTGTTATATAAAGAAAACTTTTTTGGCTATTGGCGGCTGATGCCAAGAATCGAACCAAATTAATTAACTGGTTTCCCATTTGTATGTAAAGCTGAAAGTGTTACCAAAAACACAAATAATAAAAAAAACAAGAGGGCCGCTTTAATAGTTGATAGTTTTCGCCGAATAAATACTTCAACTTTGGTGCCTGGCACCAGAGTTGGCATTTAAGAGTTCTTGTTTATGAAATTTGAATTTTTGATAGGTTATAAGAGTTCACTTACCCCTTAAATTTGTTATCAGGAGATCTTTATAGGGTGATAAATCCGTAAAATTGATTTTTGAAGACCTTGAAGTGGGGTATCTGTAAGTAAAATATGAAATACGAAATAAGTGAGGCCTACAATTTCATAATAACTATTTTGGTTGTATTTTTTAAATTAGAAAAAGTAGTAAGTATATACAAATTGGTCCCAAAATTCCATAAAAATATATACCAAAACTAAAGGAAGTCTCCATATTTCCAATAATACCTTAACAATAGCAATTACTTTTGTTAAACGCTGGTTTTTGTCTAACTTTTTTAAGCTTATCGTGGCAAATCGTATATATTTTATACATATATTTTCCTTCGACACGTTCAATAAACCCCGGACTTGACCGCTCTACAATTGTTACAGATATAGATCTCTCTGGGGAATTGTTGGTATGAATAAATATGAATGCGCTGCACTTGAACCTGGGGTCCACACCTCTCGAAATTGACAAAGAAAAACAAATGCGTAAATGGCAATACATATTTCTGCGGACCTAGCTGAGTTGGTCTTAAGCCACAACAATAATAATAATGTTGGCTAATGTTGAATTATAATGAAATCCACGGCACCTTCCTGCCTGCTGCCCCCCTGAAAGGCTGAAGTTGCTCTCGACTGGTTTTCAACTACTTTTCAAAATGCTTCTGATAAATTGGTTCGCGCTCTAAATTGGTTCTAATTAAAGCGTTTTTTATTCTTTTATGCTGATCGAATCGATCAACATCGTAGGAGCACATTTTTGTCATTCGATTCGACCTGGGGATTGGGTCGGAGATGCCGAAAGAGACCCCGAGAACCCTTGACAATGGCGGCGCAGCAGCAGCCACAGCAACAAACACTTGATGTTTTTGTGGCGCTTTTGATTTTATATATATTTTTTTTTCGAAATTTTTGTTAACGACTTAAGGCCAAACACAACAGCTCGAGAGGTACAAATCTTTGACAGACGACAAAAACCGCCCCGGGGCGTGTTGGGTCCAGCAGGCGCTAAGAAGGAATGTCATTTGTAGATCTCTCGCTCGATTCAGTTCGATTTCGCGTCAAATTATTTGATTGTCGAGTGGCTTGTGCTTTTGAATTTTTGGTTTATTGAAGCCATGGATTTGCTATGCTCCAAGCAACGCCAAGAAGTTTCAATGTCTGTGTCGCATGGAAAAAAAAAGGGAAAGGCAAAAAAATATATAACTAACGCTTTAAGAGCTTACCTTTATTTTGTTTTTGTTTATTTATTTATTTTTATTTTTTGCTAGAAAAATGTGCGCGCAAACTTGTTCTGAGTTTATGAAATCGTTTGGGTTCAAATTGCATCTGGATTTCTGTGCAACATGTGAGCAGCAGCCGATGGAGAGAGGGAGAGACTAGGGACGGGCAGGAAGTGCCAGAGTCATGGATGAATCATTAGCTTCCTTATATGGGGAAAGTGCAGTAAAAAAACATTTTAATGACTTAATAACAAAAGGGGAAGATAATTGGGGTTTCTTAAAAGGTAATTGATATATTTAAAAAATACAAAACATTCTGTATTTCAATAAAATTTAATGATTTTGGTTTCAAAAATATTTTTAAGCTAATTTTCAATCTCAAATTTAATTAATAAATTCTAGTTTCGATATGAAATGGAATATATAGCTAATTTAAATTCTTTTTATTAATAATTTGGATTCATTTACTTAACAAAATAAGCTTATGACCTCCATCCCTGGCCTTTTATGAAAATATGCGATATTTGTTTGGGCTTGGTCAGCAGCAATGGCCATAGAACAAAGGCGCCTGCCTATTAGCCATGGCCATGGTTACGTTTATGACTTGGTCAGCAGCACTCAACATTACAGTGAGCGAAAAAAAGGATATGATTTCATAAGAAATTATAAATTATAAATAAATAAAATTAATAAAATAATATATACAAAGGAAAATATATAAATTAGTTGGAATTTATTTTATTTTACAATGAAGAAATTATTTAGAGAATTTTTTTTTTTCATAACAAATTAATAAAAAAAACTACAAATAAAAATTAAAACAAATTAGTTTAAATTTATTATATTTTACGATACAGAAAGTATTTATGGGATTTTTTTTTTTTTTTGAAAATTCCTATACAAAAATTATATGTAATTATATTAGCAAACATACTCCACATTTTCTCTCAGTACTTCCAGGCAGACCCAGCAGCAGCAGCTGGCCAAACCCAAGTGTTACACTTTAAGTGACTTATTTGCATGTAAGAATGCGAAAAAAAAAATAAATAAAAAATAAAAAGAAAAGGAAAAGTGGTTCAAGAAGTGACCCTGAAAAGGGGACCACAGGTCAGGCAATTAATGCATATCCTACTCGGATGAAATTCCCCCAATCGGGCCACTGATTCATCATCAGGAGACACAACCTTTCAAAAAGGGCGTTTTTCCCGGGAAAAAATCAAATCATGCAAAAGATAAAATCACGGCACGCTGCTGGGCGTGCATCCGTTTCCGGCTATCTCGAGAGAGACAGAGAGATGCGGGTAGAGGAGCTCCAGTTGACGAGGTGCTAATATGCAAAGTGAACGCATTGAACCGACATCCATGACGTAGTCCACACACACCTCCGTCTAGCAGTCTATCGCGTCATCATCACCATCATCATCATCAATTTGCTCATCGCCCGATGCACTCAACCCACTTGAGAGCCAACCTGCTCTTAGCCCGCAGATAACCCCGCTGTAACCACTAAGAGAGAGAGGGCTTATCTCACCCAGAGACACTATATATCGTCTATGGAGTTGAGAGAACTTATATTATCCACTCTCTTAGACTGGCGGTCATGTGTGTAACGACTCCGACGCTCGACTCGCGAGGCTCGATGTGTGCTCTTCACAACCAGTTTTGAAAGCCCACTTTAAATATACTTTTGCTTTTCATTGCCTTCGATGTGAATTATAACATCAGAGCAGAGCAGAGCAGAGCAGGGCAGAGTAGAGGAGAGGAGAGCAGCTCCTACAAAACTGTGTGATTAATATGCGTTTCTCGTCTAAAACATGGCACTAAATATATATAACATCAGCCGAGGCAACGCATCCAGGCATTGACCTAGGTCACAAATACCTACAGCAGCACCAGCAGCTCATCATCATCATCATCAAATGGGTTCTCATTAACCTAATCCCACTTTGAGGGATGCCGTCAGGCCAGGCACTTGTGTTGGCCAGAAGATTCCCTCTCGCTTAAGGTATACGGGAAGAGGGTATGCTTAAATTATAAACTATTAAAATAATAATTTCACAATTTTGTTTTTTTTTAAATATTTTTATTCAAGGGAAATTATAGAAAATATGAATTTGGGACATAAGTCGATATACAAATATATATTTAGCATTGCGATTAATATATGTGCAGTAAATCGATATTCTGTTTCTTTTTTCGATGCTTTGATAAATTCGATATTTTTCGATATTTAAAAATATTGTACGTTTTTTTAGATGGAACATATTTTATATTCAATATATATATTACATATGTATCTGAAAATTTCTACCGATATCTAGAGATTCCTAAGACTTACATTAATTTCAGTAGTTTTGCTTTTAAAACTGTACTAAACCTGATTTATTTTAAGTTTAAATATATAAAAAAAAACTCCTCTTTATTTTAATCAAAACATTAAAAGCCACAAAAGTAATATAAAAGACCTGAATACAATTAAGATATGCAGCCAACAGCAGCAGCTGTCAACAACTTTACATTCACTATACAAGGAAATCCCTCACATACGTTTTTTTTAAACAAAATACATAAATTAAATGTATTATTTTTGGGGTTAATCTATCATTCACTGAATAAATTTATAGTGTTTTAATTATGTGCACTAATTGATGCAAGTCGAGAAACTCACTCAAGAGGTTTAAAAAACTAAAAAAAGAAATCTAGAAATGATCTTCAAGCTTAGTTATTTAAAAAATTACTCTAAAGAGAAATATTAATACCTTACTTATCTTTTAGAAAATGATTTATCTACTTAAATATTCTGCAGATTTTAATCTATATTCAATTTATAAATTTTTATTCCCAAAATTTTTATAAATATTAAACCGCTTACAAGAAGAAGAAACTCATATAAAGAGCATTGTTACTTCGTTCGATTTTGTATCGATTATTTTCCGGTTTTGTTTTATTTTTCGTTTTGCCAAAGCAGAAAAAATCGAAAGATAATAAAGCGCTCGCCGCGCTCTTAAAGATTCAGAGATCGAAGGGAACTCTCAGATCCCAGCTCTGAGCACTCTGAGCGCAATGTTTCAAGTCTTGCGGAGATTTTTTTGAGATTTCGAGAGTTGAAACATTTTCCAAGCCATTAAGTTAAGTTAAGGTGTTTTTTTTTTTTTGCGCTTTTTTTTTAGTTTTTTTTAAGGCGCACGCCACGAGAACGGGCGCTCAGTCTCGATTGTCAGCTTGTCGTGAATGGTTTTTTTAGCACGACGACGCACGCGGAGCTTAAGTTATTTAATAGCAACAACATCGTTTGCACATATATCCATATATATCCGTATATATCTAGCTTATGTAGCTGCCTGTGTGTGTTGTTGTGTTTGGAGTGCGGAGTGCCGAGTGCCCAGTGTGTGTGTGTGCCAGTGAGCTAGTGAGCGGATCTCTGACTGATTTGTTATTTTTGCATAAATCAATTTCGAGAGCGAGCGCCCATCAATTTCCGTGCGCGCTGCCTGGAAAGATATCTGTTCTAGATGATGTCGCATGCGCGTCCAAATCGAGTTCGTGGCCTGAGTCTTTCGTTAAATCATTGATCGCTGAGAGCTACGCCCCACCCTTCCTTCCATGGCTCTGACCAATTTCTCGCTGCCTTTCGGTGCCCTGGGCCAGCCATGGGGTGTCACCTTGGCGCCCCAGCATCCGATCCATCAGTTGGCCAGCAATACAAATAATCTGCTGTACTCGCCGGCGGATCATCAGCAGCAGCATCCCCAGCAGCAGCAGTCTCCGGCTGACAACAATCCGGAGTTTTACAAGAACAATCCCTATGCTCCACCACAATCTGTGGGGGGTTATCAATATCAGAATACTGGCGGTCGCCGGAAGCAGAATAATAATGCTTATTTGCCGCCCACGGCACCAAATTCTGTCCGGAATTCGGTTTATCACATCCAGCAGCAGGTGCAACAGGTCCAGCAGGTGCAGCAGGTCCAACAGCAGCAGCAGGATCAGCAGGAAAACAGCGTATCCTTCCAGAGTTCTAGCTCTAGAGCGAGCAGTGCCTCGGGCCAGAGCTCCATTCAGCTGACAACGCAAACCCGAGGTCCAGCGGAGGGCTCCTACTCGCGGTTTCCGGGACAGCAGCCAGGACAACAACCGCAGCAGCAGCAGCAGCCACAGCAGAAGCAGTTCTTCAATGCCCATGGCAGTGCCAGTGCCACTTTCACCAAGAACACTGGCAGCTTTAGTATTACCAGCTTTGGCAGCAGGCAACCGCAACAGCAGCAACCACCGCAACCGCAGCTCCAACAGCCACCACCTGCTCCACCCCCACCGCGGGATACCCAGCGCTCTAGGCAGGCCAAGCCGGAGGCTCAACCTGCCCAGACCTATGGCGTTGCTCCGCCCGATAATTATCCAGAAAGGGCGCCGGGCTTTACGAGGGTTCAGGCCGGGCAGGGTTCCAGGACTCAGGTGCACGCAGTGCTCGACTATGATGTAGAGGAGGGCGAAGAGGAGGACGAGGAGGAGGAGGATGGAGAGGAGGGCCAGTACTATGAGGGTCAGGAGAAGGGTGAGTTATAAAATAAAGATTGTAGCTTAGGTTTAGAATGGTTCTAGCAGATTATAATTTTGCTTTTAAATATATAAATTTAGAAAATATATAAAAATGTGTATCCACGATCGAATGTAGAACTTATCCTTGTTTTCATTCCTTAGAATTATTTTCTACTTCATTCTTAGCCATTCTTTTTGGATATTTGCACTACCCCAAGAAACCATTTCTGCTGATGCTAATTACCAAAATTTAATAGTCAAATAACCAACCAAAAATCCAGTTCAAGAGCGTCAAGAATTACTTCCTCAATTCTCTTCGAAAGCCGGGAATTCCTGTCCGATCTCCTCGTATAATTCTTCAAAGCAAACATTCCATACCAATAATCATTTCCTTATTTCATTCATCCAATGACAATCTAAGTATTTTTAACAAATAAAAAAAAAAATGTTGGTGTTGAGTCTTTAATTGTTAAAATAATAACAAGTATTTGGAGCATGTGTAGTGTAGATCCACTGGGTGATAAGCCCCGCAAAAGAGTCCCACGTCTGCACACGACCGAAAGTCATGTTAATTGTTTCTTGTCTCTGTGTGTCTTTCCAATTGGGAGCAACTTCTCCAACAGATCGAGGGAGGAGGAGGAGTTGGAGGAGGAGTAGAAGGAGAAGCGACTATAAGCAACTATAACAAATAGCGGGGGCTTGGTGGGGTAAACACAAGCGAGCTTAGACACAAGCGAACGGATCGGCGTTAGCGACAAGGTCAAAGGTCTACAAACCGATCTGGCAAGGTCACTTTCGAGACAGTAATGGCCAGTGTTTGACTTTTATAGTAACTAACACGCATCACGATTTATGTATGGTACGCCGGGGTGTATCTGTATCCATCTATTCGAGCATCCATCTACGTATCTGTATCTCTATATCTGCCCTTGTTGTCCTCATGGAAAAACTGTCAGCTTCACTTTTTTGGATATTTCACTTTCGGCCAAAGCTTGTGGCGCCTCTTTGTTACTGCCACTCCATCTCCATCGCTATCTCACATCTCCACCTTCATCTCAATCTTGCGAGGCATTAGCCAGCCAGCCAGCAACCTGCCCAGACTTCAGACTTCAGTCTTCAGACCTCAAGTACTCAACTCGGTTACGGGGCTATTATGCAAGAAGAAGTCGCGTTTCAATCCCCCCCAGAAAATAAAAAAAGAAAAAAAACATGCTCATGAACCAGCTCTCATATATGAAGAAGACTTGCGCAGGCACGCAAGACCCAAAGTCACACAGCATACGAGTTTGGGGCTGCTGCTCTGCTGCCTTCGAGTACTCATCAACACACTGGGTTTTCCACCTTTGTGCAGGCAGAAAAAATAATATAGATATGTATCATGAAAGAAGCCATCTCAACGGAAGATCAGAGTGCACAGAAACACAAAGAATCTATTTCATAACATGCCCAAAGGAATTTCTCATTAACTGAAAAGTGACATGATTTCGTGATGCACAGGGAAAAATAAGAGGTTAGATATGGGTTAAAAAAAATTAAAATATATAAAATTAAAACTTAAATATGATGAAGTGCAATGAACAAAATGATAGAGTTCTTATAGATTTTTTTTTACTTGTTTAATTGAGTTTTGTTTCACATATTTTAATAGATATTTGGCCAATTTAGTAATTAATTATTTATATACATATAAGTTTGAATTGTTCTTAAGATAATTTGAATCTTTTATTCAACATAACAAGAGTTCATGGCTTTCAAATAATATCCTTCATAAGAGAGTGTACTTAAGTGAGACTTCCTTGGCGCTCTTAAAATATTTTCTTAAGACAGCCTTCCTCTGCGCTTCTCATAGAATTTACTTAAGTAAGCCTTCCTCGCCGATTCTCATAAAGTGTTCTTAAGTGAACCTTTTTCGGATCTTTTAGAACATTTTTCTGAAGAGAGCCTTCCTCTGCGTTTCTCATAGAGCTTGTCTACAAGTGTTCTTAATAGAGCCAACCTCGGTGCTTCTCATAAACTTTGCAAAAATAATGTTCTCATAAAGCTTACCTAAGTGATCATAAGATTCTACACTTTTACTGTTCTTCAAATTTTTAACAGAATTAATACCAATTTCAAGGAAAGCTATTTTCGAAAATGCATATTTTTTAACTGTATGACTGCTCCCTTCCTTTGGTTTTTTCGTACATTCTCCAACCCGTTTTGCATCCTGCAGTATTATTAAAAGGGAAAGTTTTCTGTCTGCCGCCAGCCTGTGCCTGCCCAAGATCCGGATCTGGGCATTACAAATGCCAGGCAGACATGAAATTTATACTTCGTACATGCAAGTGTCAACTGCAACTGCATTTTGTATGCAGACACTGATCTCCGTCTCCGACCCCGGGACTATGCACTTGCAGCTCTTTTGGGTTTAACCAGCCTGATTAATGCAGTGACAACGCGCCGGGCCCTGTCCCTGTCCCTGTCCTTGCCATGAATCAGCGCAAGATATCAGACTGCCACCGCGGCCATTTAAAAACCACTCCAATTTCAATTTCAATTTTCGTTGATTTCGATTTCCACTTAATTTTCGAACCTTATTTGCATTCCATTCGCAGATAAGGCGAATAATAACAATCAGATGCCAACGGTGACGCCCATCCAGGGACCGATCTACCTGAAGAACGGCACGGTGCCGGTGGTGCCTCTATTTTCCTATCCCAAGCTCAACAACGGATCGTTTCTCCAGATTCCGGTAAGTACGGGTAGAAAAGAATGTGGGCGGTAAGGGAACACTATGGGGTACTGGGCACGCGCGCAGTTTAATTGACACACTGAGAGAAAAACAACTTCAAATTGGGGTTTACGGAAAAGAATTTTTGTACTTCTTAGAAAGGTAGGGCTGGTAAATAAATTATTACAATATTAAATAATTAAAATTGAAATTTTTATATCAAAAGTATTATAATGTCCGTTTGCCTATTTAATTTTTAATCAGGAATAGAAATGTTTTTCTTGAATGTGTAATTGTTACTCTTACTGTAAAACATTTTTTAGAGGAGTTTAAATTAGAAAGAATTTAAATAAATAATTTTTCCAAGTCAAAAATATATGCAACTTGAACTATATCTTATAATTCTCAAGTTTGCAGTCTCTAAACTTTTTTAAAAAATATCTGTTCCCCCACTTAGTTCTAGTTTTCTTTATATTTTGCAACAGTGTACTCTCGATATCGATCGAGTTTGCTCATTTTGCGGAAATAACTTTGACGATTTTGTGTTTCATTTGGGGTTTTATTTTATTTTATTTTGTTGAGCTTTTTGTTTTTTGCGCACGAAGGTCGTGCGAGTTCGTTTTATTAAGAGGTGTGATGATGTTGATGACGACGGCGAAAGAAGAGCGAGGAGAGAGATTGTGTTGAGATTGGAAATCGGCGCATGGCGCGGCAAACTCGAGCTTAATCCCAACAAAAATCCACCTTCTATATACCCGCCGCTAACCTCCTCGAATTTTTTTTTTTTGAGATATAAAACGAACTTTTATGTTTATGGCTCACTTGAGTCATTTTCACACCCCGGCCATAATTTGTTATGGTTCCGAAATCAATCTTAATCTCAGTACCTTGTGCCTTCCTCAATGCTGCGTAAATACATATATGTATATATATTAATCGTTTTTCTATATAGATCTGGTGGACGGCTTTGTCGGTGGCTTTGGGCTTGGATGTGAGGGGCGATGTCATCAAGGGAGTGCCATGCATTAAGCGATATCATCAGCTGTTTTGTCCCACGGCCGGAAATAGTTATCCCATGTAAGTATCCGATTGTTCTAAGTTTTTTCTTGGTTCTAGGAAATTCCAAATGGAAATGGTATTTCCCTTGAAAATACTCATAAACCTAAATGATATTTTAAGAGTATATGTTCTCTTGATTAAGTCAAGGATGTTAGCTTTTCTGCGGTTTTTCTTTATTCGCCAAAAAAAGAAGCTGAACTGAATCACATTTAATCCGGATGACTGTTCTAGAGCTGACATAGTTAGAGGTTCTCATTAGCATAGGCGCGTCAAACTGCCATGAATTTCATCATTGGGCTGAAAAAGTCTCACTTTTATGGCTAGAAACCATTTAATAACAGAGAGGTCATTAACATGGAAAGTTATCCATTATAGAGGGCTTTTATTAATTGATTAATTCAATTTCTTAATCAATTCGCTTAATGAATATATGGAGTGATATAAATACTCTATAGAGTCAATTTGCTGACCTTATCTTATCACCTTTTTGGTTTCCCCCTATAATTTATTTTTGCCACTTCATTATCGGATTTTCAAGATCGATCGCTCTGATATATATATTTTTTATTAACTTAAAATGTATTTTTGTTTTATTATTTATCGTAATTTTATAAATACTTTGTTATGGATTTTGAATTATTGATTAATTGCTTTAATGTAACAATTAATTTTAAAATTCGAAGTAGTGAAAATAATCCATATAATTCGAATCCTATAGTAAAAGTATATAAAGTGTTGGTAAATAAAAACTATGTTTTGTTTCTGTATACATTTTTAATAATTAAATAATAATAATAATTAACTAATAATATTCCTTTAAATTTCAGTGAAAAAATCGAACGTTTCATAGACGACAACAAGGCTCTGATGCGAAGGATGTATGGGGACTTCGAGATGAATATGGAAGGACCTGGCGGCGGCGGAGGAGGAAGTCGTCAGCAGCAGGCCAAGGTGCGAAAGCGTCGGTTCATCGATGAACCGGATATATTTATACCGCCTGGAGCCTTTGCCGCCAATGCTGGGGAAGCCCCAGTGGAAGCTGGCGATAGTTACTTTGGCCAACTACGGAAAAAGCGACAAGCAGCCGCTGGAGGAAGTCGCAATCGAGGCAATGGAGCAGCAGCCGGAGGAGGTGGTGGCTCAAGTGGGAATAGCAATGCCAATAGAACTCCTGCCGGCAATGGGAATGGAAATTCTGGTACTGGAAGACTTGATGCCTGCGAATCGAAAATAGAAATTGTGACCCCATATTGGGCATCGAATTCGGCGGGAAAAATCCGAGCCATTGTGAATACACAGCACTTTGAGCAAGCCATCCATCAGGAGGTGTGCAGGTGAGTGGGATATACTAGTGTTATTTGTGTTATTTACCAAAATAATAATTAATTTCTCATTATTTTGTAGTAATACCCAAACCCCCCGTTGCGAGGGTGAATGTGGTTGCGAGCAAAAATACAAATGGCATCGATTGCTCGCCTATGATCCCGATAACGATTGCAAGGGCATTTTTATGGATTGGTTCCTGTTTCCTTCGTGCTGTGTCTGTAGATGTAATCCCTAGATATCGCCTCTCCTGACTCTGAGCAATTAACAATATAATATATAATATGAAGCATATCATATATCAGTTGATAAATGTAATTGAGACAAGTATAATCGTAGGTAGAATGCCACTGAATGTATTTTAGTTGTTGTTAAGGTAGACCTTACGTAAAAACCTAATTGGTAGCTCTAGTTAAGATCGATTCAGCATAAATTACCTAAGGTTTTAATACGAGCCATGTCCCTCCATCAAAATGCGATATAACTCAACCTCCATTTGTTTTGTTGTACTGTAAATGTAATTGTAATTCTAATTGTAATTGTAAACGTAATTGTAAAAACGAATCAAGTGAATAAAGTCTATGCAAATATCGTATACGAAATTTTTGGGTTTAACAAATCAATTAGCATATGTTTAATAACTAAGAACAGTCTGGGCCCTTCCAGTCACTTGAAAACTAGGTAACTTTCCTACAAACTACAAAATATATTTAAGAAACAAGTGAATATTGATGAAATTAATAACTGTCTGATATAAATAACCAATTTGGAATATATATTTAGGCTAAAACCATTAGGAATTTACCTTTTAATGGGTGCAGTCAATTCGATTAGGAAACCATTAATTTGGGCTAATTCGTTGATGGGCGCTTAAATTGTTGTCTTGACTTAATGTGGTACACCTTTTAATTATCGCAGTCGAGACAAGGTCGTATTACTAAAATCTGCACTTCATTAAAACTATGCTAAATCGAGTCATTTATTGGTTGGAAACGTTTAGGTTTATTTATCATTTAGAAGAAACTGAAGAAGTGTATTTAGAAGCATTTAATAATTTTTCTTAAGGAGTAACTATTTTGCATAATAATAAAGCAGAAATTTATGCAAGGGATAACAGAAAATATAGTTTATAGCTATACTGTATCAATATTTAAAGCAAAACTAGATATTTTGTCATTGCGATTTATGAATTTATGCGGTAAATCGATATTCAGTGTGATATATCCAACCAATATAATCCAAAAAGGAAGCAAAATAATTAAATGACATTATTTTGATATCATATAATAATATATAATAATATTTCAATATTTTTAAACCCATTTCCTTCTATTAAAAAATCAAAATATAAAGAAACACTAGATGTAGTGTTATGACCTCCCTCAAAATACACAGTAGTCGAAATGTAAAATGATAAAAATCAGAAACAATTGATGAAATCTCTGATCCTAACACAAAATGTACAAAATAACGAAATCCCATGATTTATTAGAATTGGCATATGACCAGCGGTGGGGAAACCCCCCAAAACAGGCAATTATTGACATTTTGATAAATTTCAACAATGAAGTTGCTAAAATCCGACTGTCTCGGTTAACAAGCAAAGCAAACAAACAAATGCAAGAAATAGCCAACATAAAAAAATTAAATAAATAATTTAAAAAAGTAATTTGCATCGGCCGGGAATCGAACCCGGGCCGCCCGCGTGGCAGGCGAGCATTCTACCACTGAACCACCGATGCTTGTTGATGAAGCTCAACAAACAACGTCCAAGTGTAGATTTTGGAGAAATATCTTGGAGAAACAAGAAAAGAGCTTTGGAGAGCTTTCGGCCTAGGGCAAGGCAGCGCAGATTTAATTTGCATCCAACATATGTCGCGGGTTCAACTCCCACTGAGGACCAACATTGATTATTTTCCTCTTTTTTTGAGTAATTGTTTTTCTTATTCTTTTTTTCTTATTCTCCTTTTTTTTCTTTTCCAAAGTTTTCATAACCAGAACGCAATGGGCATCAACAATTTTGGGTTTCATAAAGCGTTTATATGCCACAGGGTCATAAATAAACCAGTGAGAGCCAGGGGGAAGCCCAAGGAATGTGTGTGTATGAATGTTCATATTTGCTACTAGTATTCCCCATCGAGTTTTTTGGGTGTCGTAAAAAAAAACCCTTGCCCCGAGGACCGAAACTGGTCTCCTCACTTCCCCATGCCCGTCACGTATTCAATCACAGCAATGGCTACACAAAACTGCGCTATATCAAAAATTTCGGTCTATCGTCGTGCATGGTATACAAATGGGTACATTTCACCGCAGACACCGCAAGTTAGCCAGAGTTAGAGTCAGAGTCAAAGTCAGAACCAGGCCAGAGCTGGAGCCCCAGTGTACTGGAGTGGACCAACCAATAACAATTGACTGCGCTGGTCTCCAGTTAACCGAAGCTGTATAATGGCACTGGGGGTCTGGGTCTGGGAGCATTTATTGACGACCGCAATGTCAACAATTGCAGCCATGACGACGACAGCAGCGTCAACAGCAGCCGCAAACAGCAGTAACAACAAGTTCCCATGGGATAATGAACTTTTTTCAACGGACTGATACCCAGTATTTATAATGTAAATATTACAGATTTAGTGGTAAATATGAGAAAACAGTTTTAGATAATTTATAAAAAATTTTAAAACATGAGAAAACTGAATTGTGTTTAAAGCCTCTTTAACAGCTGTCCAAAAGTATGCAATTAAAATTTAGAAAACTAGAATTAGAACTAGGAAATGGCTTTAAGTATTTCTGTAGTACTCCGAGAACACAGCTTTTTGCCATATAAACTATATTAAAAATTGATTAATTAACCCCAAAACTATTTAAAAAAAAGAGTACCAAAACTCTTTCTATTAAACGAAAAAAACCAAAGATCATTTCCATTACCAATATACCCCTCAATATAGACCCTCAGGGAATCCATTTCAGCGCAATGACAAGAACAACCCACTAAGGCCCGCATCGAGTTAACCATGAAAGTTGGCCAAGCGAAACCATTTCGTGGCCAGGATGAGGACGAGTTGCTGATGCTGGTGCTGCTGCCTCTGGGATGCTGCGAGTGCGGGGCGTATACGTATTATGATGATGACGCCCGAGAACAGGACAATAGAAATGCGAGGCCACACAAACACGACCGCACACACACACCGCACTCCATACACCACACACACAACACACACACCCACATGTAAACGAGTGTTGTGTGCGGCGGTGACAATGATACTGGCATTTGTTGGCTTTTCCCCACGCGGCGGCGACGACGACGCTGCGCGCGCAGAGCTCTCGGCTTTGGTGACAGGACGAGGAACAAAACCGGAGGCTAATTCGAATTCCCCGTAGGGGCGTAGCGCATTCCGAGGCCAGAATAGACCGGACACAAACTCAGGCGGCGTCCTGGCGTCATCTCGACCAAATCTCGGCCAGTGCCGCACAATTTTTGGCTATAAATACAAATGTCGGCACGCAGCTTGGCTTAAACTTACATTGTTATCCTAGTTCACAACATCTCTCCGCTGTTGCCTTAAATCGCCGAAACAAAATATACACCAAAGACTACGTGACGTAGTTAAGAAGACAAACAGGGAATCCTTACTCCTCCATCTCCATCAAACTACAACTCGCAACACCCCCAGGACAACAACTCCACTCGTTTCCACTTCAAACTCCAAGCTGTGAGTCACACTTAGCGTGGGCTGCAGGTGCAGTTGTGGTTCAGTGTCAGTGTCATAATCATAAATTTTTGGCGAAACATTGTGTAATCCTCTTTCGATTGGGTAAACAAAACCCAAGTGAGTGGCTGCAGTTTCTTTGTTTTTTATTATTATTACGGCGAAGAGCCAAGGGGAAACGTGAATACAATTTTTTAATTGAAATTTCCTGGAAGGGACACTTAAGCAAGATGAAATTATGATAGAATAAACTCGAATAATGTTGAAATAAATAGGGAAGTTTAAAGAAAGTATTGAAAAGAAAATAGATAAAAAGAAGAAAGCAATTTTAGAGACTCCTTGATTGTCTAAAATCAATAATTTCCTTGGTTATTAATAAGATTTTTAGTTCTAGTAAATTTACTTTAAACAAAAGAGCTTAAGTTTAAAGAAATCCCATTAATTCATAATAATACTTAATTACTTTACCAATTCAAGCCAAATAAACCCTTCCTATTAACTGACTCATAAATAATTTCCCCAAGACTAATTAAGACCAGAGCTTCTGGAGCTCTATAATAGATTCCCAGAGACAGCACACAAGATAACATCCTTCCTGCGTTGATTTATCGAAATCCCAGCCAGACAATAATTTATCTGTTACTCAACTCTAAAGGCAATTTCTGGTTTGCCATTCAATTTATTCCCACTGCGACCCCACCTTAAAAGCCATCACCAAACCCATTGGCAATGCAATCCCAATTACACATCCTGCAATCCTGCAATTGTTGTCTTCTCTGACATTCACACACTTTCCTTTCCCGTCTCATTCTCTCTCTCTGTCTCCTTTTGCAGTGCCAAGTGCCACGCCCACAAACACGACAATAATGAGGGGATCGGGATTGGGTATGGAAGCAACTCAAGCAAGTGGTCACAGGTGGCTCCTCGTCTGGATGACGGTGCTGCTCCTGGTCGTTCCACCGCATTTGGTCGATGGCCGTTACCTGCCGACAAGGTCGCATGGCGACGATTTGGACAAGTTGCGTGAACTGATGCTGCAGGTGAGCGATGGTACAGTGAGCGAAATAATAGGGGGGAAGTTTAAATTGGAAATTTAAAAATAAATGCAAAGATGGGTAAGAATTCTGAGGTTTAGACCGCTTTAAAGGCTTTACAAGAAACTAGGCTTTGCCTACAATAAAGTAATATTGTTTTTGAAAAGATCAACGGCTGAGGAGCATACAATTCCATAAAAATTACAAATAAGATCATATGTATTTTCTTTCCTTTCCCCCAAGACTTATTTATCAGTGCAACCGGATAACATTTCTTAAATATTTTCCAAGTGATTTAAAGTTGGAAACCGAAAAATAATAGCGTGTTAAAGTCATGCCGTAATCGGTACACATTTATCATCCACGCATTAATGAAGCCGCGCAGCAGGTGAAAAGTCATCACCTGGGCGCATTCGGACAGTGTATATTTTTGTTGTGATGAGTATCTCTTTTTTTGGGACCAAAGTTGTTCGTTTTTCTGCATTGGCATTTTTTGGAGCGCTGTCAATATAATTAACTAAATGAAAAGAGAGCCAAAGCGTGGTATTAAGTTGCAATTATGTCGCCAATTATTGAGGTTTTATTTTGTGACTTGTTTTTGTTGTTTTGTTTTTTCGGAGCGTTTCTTCTACCTTTTCTTGTGTTTTTGTTTAAGGTGTTTTGTTTTTTTTTTTTTGGAATTGAATGGAATGGAGGTTACGTCATCGGGTCTGGGTATAAGGTTACAGGTCCAGGTCCAGGTCCCTCGATCCCAAACAGATTCCTGCTAACCGCATCCCTCCTGGCGCTGTGTGGTTTCTCATGCGTCTGCAAAACCATTTCAGAAATATTTTTACATATTTCGCAAGCAAGTCTCTTCGACTCTTCTTTTACTTTTTTATTTCTTTTTGTATTTTTTTTAAATTTATTGGAGGAGCCTGCTCGGCTACAATCGCCAGCACTTGGCCAACACTTGCTCATTGCTGCTGGCTCCTCATCTTTTGCACAATTTTGCCGCCGCCGCCGCCGTAGTTGTTGTTATTTAATGTGTTTTTTTTCGGCACAGTTTCCTGTTCTTTTTCGCAACCAAAACACAAAAATGCGGCTCAACTAGGAGGGTAGGAATCAGGTGACCGGGTATGGGGGCCAGCAGGAGGGTATCCAACTCGGAGGAAGCCCCACTTAGCTGTGTGGATGTGCAGAAAAATCCGCAGCTGCGCGTCGTCAGCAGCCTACAAAATGCTCAAAACTGCAAATGCAACTGTTTGCTCTACCATCGCGATTCGAGTATCTGTAGCAAATAATTGAAACACTGCGGAAATTTATGGGAAATCATGGGTAGCAGATATATATTCTTGAAGGGGAGAATGCAGTTTCAAGTCTTTTAAAGTTTTTAATAAAGTAAACTAAGTCCTTTAAAATGTTCAAAACATTTTTAAAGTTAAAACGTCTTGAAATAAAATATTAGAAATTTGAAATCAATTAAATTACTGTCCAAAATTATGCTTTAAATAGAAAAAAGGCTCAATTTGGTCCGCAAATATTTCATTGCATACTCTTAGACACTTTTTTAATTGCTTTAGAATCATTATTCTTTCTTGTTTTTCACTTTAAACTGAGAGTAATCCCCAAGAAGTTAATGAACTGCTAAAAACTTATTTAAAAAGAAGTGGCTAAGCGTCAAAAGGACCATAATTGCTTACTCTAAAATACATTAATTACAATTTGAACTAAGACTTGAGGAATTTAGCAATCTAGGATGCTGGGCTACGCTTTTTTTCAGTTCTCCAACCCCTTTTTTTTTTTTTTTTTTTTTTGCAGACTCTTGTTTCTGAGTCATGGTCCCTCTGCAAATCGATAAGTCGCTGACGTGCGACGCAGACAAAGACCAAAGACCAAAGACCGAGAGACCAAGAGCAGACCATGTTTGGACTGACAAAAAGCGAGCAGAAAAATATAGTAAAACCAAGCGAGCGCTAAAGAAAAAGGGAAATCAAATGTCAAATAGCAAATAATGACGATGACGTGGTCGTCGCCAGATGATGAAGGTTGACTTTGGCTACGTCACTTGGCAGACAAGCGACAGAATGCGAAATGAAAGCACTTGACACACAATAATGCATTGAACCTGAGACAACAACAACATAACTTGGCCTTTAGCTTATTGCCTTCTTTCCAGGCTCCTGCAGGAGATGGATGTCAACAGAGTGACACAACACAACCTTCCTGTTTTCTATCTATATACCATTAACATCAGGACCCCCATTTCCTTACCCCTAACCCCAAGGAATTCCCAAAAGCAATTTGTGCGTGTGTGTTTGTGGAAAATGACAATTTCATAATGCTCTCCTGACTTATTAGAGATATATTGGATTATAATTGTGTCATGGCTTGAGGGTTGCTGGTACGTGGGCAAACTTTATAATTATTTTAAGGGGCTTGAAACTAATTTAAGGCTCAACTTGAGCACTGTGGCTCACAAATGTTAATTTGATAAAGAGACAATGATTCAGGGGGGATGATGGCTTTAAACATAATCCCATTAGGCAGGCAATTTAATACGGCTTGGGTGTGAGAAGTTGCCCAAAATCAATTTAATTTGCTTAAATCACTCAAAATAATCAGGTAATAATAAGGCTTTGAATTTAAGCTATTTAAAGGAAATATTCCTGAAATTCTTTTAACATTTTTAACAGTATAAATCTTAGGTTCAGGCTTACAGCATCAAGAGGCTGTCTTTTCCTTCCTTTAAGCTTTTCTTTAATTCTTGAAATTCTATTAATTTATTTATCACTTTTCTTCTGCAAGCATCAGTATAATATATATTCCTAAATCACTTTTCACCACATTCCTTATCCAAAACATACTTTTCTACTTATATATCCAGGCCATAAAAAGTTTCTGGGGCCAAGAAAGTAAAAGTTCGTCCTTCTCTTATTACGCCATTGATGTCCACAATTGATGGCAATTATTTTCAACATTCTTTTTGCCACTTGCCACGAAATGTCTAAGACTACAAATCCACCACCACCACCGCCACTCATCAAGTGGCCCCCTTTCCAAGCCACAGATATTGCGAACCCCAGGAAAAAAAACCAACCCAGAGATTCCCAAGTCGCAGCTGTTTATTTATAAAGTATCTGCCAACCAACTCCCTTTCCAATCCTGGTCAAAAAAAATACAAGGGGAGACTCTGAGGCAATACAAACAAATCACATAACTTTTCACTTAACGACAACTCTCAAATTAAACTGTCCAAACGAGGCCTTAATGAAAACGGGGAGTTGAAGCCCAGCTGACACCACCCCTCCTCAGCACCGCAACCCTTAGAGTCAAGCAGATGCAATGCGATAACCATTTCGGAGTCATCATCAGTGCTTCCTTGGGCATCCATCCATTAATGGCATTTAAGTCAAGGAAAGGGAAAGGAGGCAAACAGTTTTGTGTGTGTGTTTTTTTTTTTCTTCTTCAAAATTAGCAATAAAATAATTACTTGGCGCGAAATTGTTTTAGGTTTTTCACTTCATTTGCCGCCAAAGTTGTTTGTATTTGTTCGTTCACACATCATCAGCAACAAAAGATCAGGGATTACAGAGTGGTAGCCCAAAAAAAAAGAGGTTGGCGGCTGATAATTACACTACAATACCCCCCATTAACACATTTTCAGCTCATCAGCTCATCAGAGCTCACAGCGGCGGCGGCGATGAGGAGCCCAAAAAAAGACGGTAGCCAAGTTGGGAGAAGGCTTTGAAAACATGTTTAACCCATTTGGGGATGACTGCAAAATATTAGGCGATAGATTCTTTGAATTTTTTAGACTTTTTAAATGGGAATTTTTGCTATACTGCAATGTTGAGTTGAATAAAAAGTATTTTATATAAGTATTAAAATTAAAAAGTCTTTAAAAAATAAGCAAAGATAATACTAAAGTTTGTTAAAATTTTATTTAAATTAACAATTTTAAAATCTTAGTATGTAATATCAGAACATATTTCATATATAAAATACTTATGGTTTTAAAACCCTTTAAAATTGTGTCAAAAAGTATGCTACAAAAAATTTAAAAACCCAATCTGTGATCAGCCACCTTTTACGAATTTGTCTTAATATAATTTATAATTTTACTTAATACTTGTTTATTATAATTATAATTTTATTATCTTTATTATTTTATTTTTGTTTTCTAATTTTTATAAATAGTTTTAGACCCTTATTTCAATTATTTTTATTCACTAATGCTGATGTCTTGCATTAAATGTAATTTTTTGTTAACCCAAAAGATAAAATCACTTGAAATTGTTTAGACCATGAGGCCTTTAAACATATTATTATTATTTTTTGGCGACCCTTGGCCCCAAATGGGTTAAGACATGCAAACAACAGAAGCAGACAGCCGCCGCCGCTTCGTTACAGATAAAGTTCATTCGATTTAATGATGCGCCAAAAAAATACGAAAAAAAACGCAGCAAAAAATTAAAATTAACGAAAAAAAGCGAGATAACTAAAAATCTGTGACGAACTTCCCACGTTGGATAAATAAGATTTCAACAGATTTTCTTCTTTTTTTTTCTTTTTTTTGAAATAACTCACGGCTGTTTGACGGCGGGGGGCCGAGTCGCCTCAGTCGTGTTAACAACAGCAACTATACGATAATTATAACAACCATAACAACAGACGGCTCCGGAGTTTAACTCTTTCTCCCTCTTGCGTTTTGTGTGTTTGCAGATTTTGGAGTTGAGCAATGAGGACCCGCAGCAGCAGCAGCAGCAGCAACACCCACTGCGTCTGCACAATGAGGCCAACGGTGGCAGTAACAACAACAACAACAACAATCTACGTGCGTCCAACGGCAACTCAAACGCCGCCTGGCTACAAAAGTTGAGCGCAATGGGTGCCCTGGATGAGCTGGGCGGCGACGGTGCCCGGTTTGCACCCAACTATGGACGTTATTAAGCCATCTAAGACACACCTGACGCACACACAACCTGACGACACACCCAGCAGCAGCAACAACAACAACAGCAGCAGCAACAACTGCGACAAAGGAAACTGGCAACTGGAAAGCTTGAAGTGGTGTTTTTTTTTGGGGGGGGGAGTGAAAACCATGTTGGACATGAGAGTGAATCTCAACGGTAAAAAAGGGCTGTTCACAGGATTAAAATCCAATTGAGACGAAGAGCAGAGTGCGTGAAAATGGACAAATAAATGGAGCAAAGGATTCTCCTCTCTTTGGGAAATCACTTTGAAGTGCTTTTTGAACGAGTCTCGAGCGTAGAAGGACACTCTGGGAAATCACTTTCAAAGGCTTGTGACCCTTTTTTTGACTAAACAAAACTTTAATGACCCTTGCGAAGTCCTTGTTTAAAGGCAAAGGATAAACACTCTGTTTGTTTTTATAATCTAAAAACCCTTTTAAATTAATTCAGTGATTTTATTATTATTTAAATGAAATAAAATAGTCTTTGGTTATATTATTTTCTTAGAATTTTGGTGTATTTTACAGTCAATAATGTACAACATGGTTTCCCCTTCAATCCCAAAAACCCATACACACTCAATGGTTTATTAAATGCAACTGGAAAAACTGATGAAAAAAAATATAAAGACACGTGAAAACTGAATAAACTATAAAGGACAACAAAAGGCAGTTCCTAAGCTAGAACAATAATTTTTAAAAAACTCATTAAAGAGAACTAACTTGTACCTATATGTATATGTACCTATGTGTTGTAGAGCAACCCCCCGTCCCTCAAGAAAATACATTAAAAAAAAAAACCCTTGAAAAGTAACCCCCTTTTAATGGTCAGCCAACAAAAAGAGATAAAAATAAAAACTACCATTAAAACCGAGTCAGAGTCAATTGTAAATATTTTAAAGCCCAGAAATACAGAAAAAGAAAGAAAAAAAATAAGAAAAAGAGACCCGAAAGCCCTCCGGAGCCCCATGAACAATAATAATAACTGGAGTTTTTAATGGGCCCCCAAGGCCAAAGTGGGGCATATATATGAAGATATATATTTAGTAAATGTGTTGTGTATTTATAAACTATATGTACAACTCCCAAACTAACTAACCTCCACACTAAAGTCGAGAAGATGGCCTCCGCAATGGCACGAAGTTTCAGAGATATACAGATATATATATATACAACTTTATTATATTCGTAACTACTATATACACATATATACTATATATATATATATAAATGTACATCTAATTGTTGTTATCGTTATTTATACTTATGATTCGCCGCCGCAGCAGAAGCAAACAATAAAGGAAAAATCATTTTCAAATGCAACTATAACTATCTACAACACTCTATTTATCTCAACTGGATCTCAGCCTGTTACATAACGACGCATGTAGCATGTAGAGTGTGTAACGCAACTTGCAACTATCTCGGTCTCAGATTCATCTCGCTGAGATACATCTGCTCGAGGGCTTCCATTCCCAGTCCCAGTCTCAGTCCCATCTATCTCAATTTACTTTCTCGTACTTCAAGTGCAACTCTCGACAAATTAAACGCCGAAAAGTGGCACCCACCAGAAAAAAAAAGAAGACACATCACATCTTGCACAGCATCATCTCCAATACAAAAAATCTTCCATTCAAAAAACCCAAAAACCGAACCCATTCCCGATGTCAGTTCGAATCTGTTAAGTACTTTTTTTAACGTTTTTTTTTCTTTAGAGCTTGCCACGCCAAGTGCCGTCGTTTTGTAAACGAAAATTTTTAATTGTTTTCTTTGCGTGTTTTTGTTTCTGTTTATTTATGTAAATATAATATCATTTAAATGGTTCCGTCTGCCTTTGTTTTGTGCGTTACATAAAAGTCACAAGAGATACAATATAATAATTAGTATCTGTATCTGTATCTCTGCCCGCCGAGGTGTAGATGGCAGCGCGTTTGTACGCAAGTTTTTTGACTGTTGAGGCCATCGGAGAAAGCAGAAAGATGAATGGCTGACTGCGACGCTGATTATATGGCTCAGAATCGCTGTGGCATGGCATTATTCATTAAGATGTGGCAATGCGGCGTGCATAATTCGCACAAATGGCCCAGCCCAGCAGAATGTATTCGCGAGAATGCATAATGTATATCGCAGTGATAAATGGGTAATGTAGTTTCATGTGGAAAATAAGGAAATAATAGGAATGCATTCCATGTGCTGTCTTTTTAATTTATTTGTTTACTGAAAATGGTTTACTCGGAAGAGGAGAACTAATAGAGTCATTAAAAAACACATTTTAATGGATACAATATGTATCTTTTAATTAAAGGATATATGTACAATGTTTTAAAGGAATATAATTCTATTGGCTATAATTCGTAATTAGTATGCATATCGAATAAAATATAAGGAGATCCAAAATATTCTAAGCCTGATATATAATTTTTTTTAAATATCGAAAGTTATCGCACTTAATTAAAAATTCGATATTATTAAAAACCCCGATAATGTACTTTTAAATATCGATTTATATATAATTTACAGTACCAGTAAATCAATATTTTGTGCCATATATATAAATTCAACAAGAAAATCTAAAAAACCTATGATTTTATATATTTAATACAATTAATATATATTTTAAATTTCATTTTATATTTTTAAAATTGAACAAACAATTTGTTAAGCATTTATAATAAATTACAATTTACAATTTTATGCAATTTATTAATCATTTTATAATAAATTATATTTTCATTTTCTTAAATAATTAATAATGTTTTAAACCCCGCATTTCAGCATAAAAAATACCATTAAAATCCCTATAATAATTTCCTTTACTTCTCTTTAAAAAAAACCCAAAGTAAGACATTAGTTTTCCCCTCTTTATAAACCCATATCCCTCCCACTACTTCTCCCACAAAATTATGGGTCAAGGGTTGCCTTGAGCAAAGTATCTGCCAAATATTTGCATGTGCCTCATTTGCAGATACAAAATAAAAAACCAACAGGAAAATTCCCCTAGGATGAGGAGCATAAGCATATGAACCTGCACCTGTTTCACCTTCCAGGGGAATTTGGCGAATAATTTGCCACGAATGATGATGATGACGATGGTTTTGAATGTGAAAGATGAGCGCTGGAAAATTAAGGAAATGCAATCTGGGGAGCAGTACTGCCGAAGATGAACAACAAAATCAACACAAACAAAAAAAATAACAAAAAAACACAAAAAGAAACAGAGTTGCCGTTTGGCTAACGGCATTATAAATGATGCCATCGAGTAAAAGTGACAGTCTCCAGAGAGTCAGAGTCTGCCTATCCTCTGGCCGAAGCTCTCAACTGTTGCAAGTTGCAACTGGTGTCGTCCTCCGTCCCACCGTTTGGCGCCACTGGCCACTGATTATGCCATTTCATCAAATTCCGGCAGCTTTTCAGCATTTCAGGAGTGGCCGCAAAATGCGACCAAGGATCGAAACTGATTGCTATTCATAGATTATGTGCATAAATCTGAGGGAAATTTTAAGAAAAAAAAAATATATATATAGCTTCAAGGAAAAGTTGCAAAATCATAATTTGTTTTTCTTCTCTTTTTACATCTAATGCAAATTGTCATGGCCTGGGCGTAAATTATTAAATACCAACACAACACAAAAGCAACAATAAAAATTAACCGAAAAAAAAGTGGAAAAACAAATTGAAGAAATTCAAAAATATTGCAAAAACAAGCACAAACAACGAGAGAAAAAATTAAATAAAATGCTTATGGAGATGATGGGACTGACGGCGACCCTAGCCAACAAGAGCGTGAAGCTCATTATGAAGCTTCGTGGCCAGAAAACGCGGACAGCAATTACAACAGCAACAGTAACAGCAACAACAACAATAACAATAACAGTAACAATAATAATAATAACAAAAACAATAACAAAAAAGGCCGAAACTCAAAAAGAAGCTGGCTGACTGACTAACAAACAAAAGGCCGAAAGAGCATGAAGAAATGAAATAAAACCAACAGTCCCAGTCCCAGTCCAGAGCACAAACCCATCCCTGTTCCAGCTAACCCCTCTCACCCTTGTAAATTCCCAGCTAAATGAGAGTGAGTCCACATTCATTGAAATTGAAAGTGAATCGTGCCACACGATCCGATCCGATCCGATACGATACGATCCGTTGCGAGGCGATGCGAACCGCAGAGACATCGGCGTCCAGACCATCATGAGTTGGTTACGAGCACACCACCGACTGACTGCGATTGGATCCTCCAAATAACCAAAAATAACAATTTAAACCCAACAAACCACATATATTTATAATGATAATAATGTAACAAGAAAACCAAAAATACAGAAAGAAAGAGTCTGCAGAGGAAGAGATAAACAGGAAAGGCTTTGCTTGGTTTTTGGGTCAATTCGAAGGAGATAATACTCTAAGAGGAATTGATTTTGTTGATCTATATTTGAGATATATCATTAACCATAAATATAATCAATAGCCCAAAAAAGAAGGAATTAATTCTACTTAAAAAACTAAATACATTTAAATGTATTCTAATTTTTTGTTTCTTTCTTGGTTTCATTATTTTTCCTTATTTGTTAGCAAAATCTTTTAGCCCTATTAAGCTCCCTCGTTGTAATTTTTAAGCATTTATAAAAACCTTCATAACTTACAATAGTCATCATCAAGTAATGACATTTTAATAAGCCATTTAACAACATTTAATTTCGGTGGCCTTTTGTTTTTATTAACCAGCTAAGTATTTGAATTTTAAGATATTTTTAAGGGTTTTTTTTACTTCTAACTTAAATGTAGGTTATTCCTCATTTGGGTGTTTATTTTTTCTACATTAAGTACTAATTTTTTAATTTATTTATGCTACTTTTTATTTATCAAATAATATTATTACCAGACGAACATATATTTCAATCCTTTTAAAATATAAATGTTTAAAAAAAAATAAATTTAACTAATGATAGTCACACAATTAGTTGAATTATAGAAATTATAGGTAAGTCCCTTTACTTAAAAGTATTACCCAAGTCAAGGTAGTTCCCAAAAAAGAATAAATTCAAGGATTTCCGAAATAATTATCATTATAAATCTTTACTGCTTCATTATAAAGTACATTACCCTTACAATTTTTATATTTCCCCTTGAAACAATCAAAGATTCCCACAAAAAAAGAAATATATAAATTCAAGGAAAAGAAATCTTAAAAATTTATTGATTGGCTTGACTGTAAGGAGATATGCTCGAGCCCTCTTCCCTCATTAAAACATACAATGTAACTTGCCAGTTCCTTAGTTTCCCCTTGAAAATAATCCTAGTTGCAGTCAAAAAAAAAAAATAAAAATAAAAAAAAAACCTCACTACCAAGACCACACATAAAAAAACCGCAAAGAAGCAGTTAATCGTGGAGCCAGGAGGAAAAACCAACCGAAAAGACGGCCAAGAAATGGTCAGCCGTCTCAGTCAGCGTCGCAGTCGCAGCTAGGAGCGGCGTAGGCAGAGACTACTGCAGAGGATCGGCAGCAGAGAAGAGTAGCTGCAGCTTCAGTTTCCCCCAAAAAACCAGAGATGACTTGCTCCAGCTACCGCTGCTGATGCTTTAAACATTTCAATTTCTTCATGGTTACTACCAACTATATATTTTTGACGCTGCTCTTGGCCAACTGCTAGCGCCTCAGTCTCAGCCTCTGCCTCTGGTGACGCCTCTGCCTCGGTCGACGGCGGTCTTGGTCGTCGTCTTGAATTTTTACTTAATTTTTATTTCACGCGCTGCGCCGCTATAAAAGAAACTGCAACAATCGTTGTGGCATGCAGTAAGAGGTTCCGCGTCGAAGCAGCAGCACCAGTAACCAGTCAGCAGTCCAGTCACCAGTTACCAGTAGCAGGTTCCCCAACGGATATAGCCGAAAAAATAAGAAACACAAAAGTCCAACAATAATGCAGTCCAGTTGTGTGGTATGTGTGATCATCTCAAGTCAAAGTGACTCCCGTGACAAAAGTGTTTGAGAAAGCTAAAGTTCTCCCCCAATCAAATCTTCCCCTTCCTCCCTCAGTTGGTGGTCGTCGTCTTGGCCTTGGCCGCCTTGGTGGCCGCTCGTCCTGAGCCGCCGCGTGACTCTTACAGTGCTCCGCCTTCCAGCAGCTATCAGCCAAGCGGACCCAGTGGGGGCTATGGCGCCCCAGCTCCTCAGTATGGACCTCCACAGCAGCCACCGGTGGTGCACAAGCACGTCTATGTCCATGTGCCGCCACCAGAGCCGGAGTACCAGGCACCCAGGTAAGTTGAGATTCATGGGGGATTACAACTAGATCCTTGTAGGGTTTAGGAATTATAGGGAATTTTTTGAGACGGAAATTTAGGAAGAATTTAAGAAAAAGGGTTGAAAAATAATATTTTAGGATGCCTTAGGATGAATCTTAAATTAGTTTAGAGTACTTTCTTGTCCTTTAAAATATTAACAAGCACTGAAAAACATTACAAAAACATTTAGTTTATCCAATTTTTTTAGGCTAGACTCTGTAGAAAATATAAACCTCTGAAGAAGTTCTTTAAAGAGCCCACATATCATTGTTAAATAATTTGTTATTAAAAATCTTGATGGGATCATTTCAATTTAATTTGTTATTTAAAAAACTGTATGGGATCACTCAAGTTTAAACGTAAAACCACTTTTAAAACCCTTCAATTCACACTCTTTACCCTTATACCTTTCCCTTTCGTGGTTTTTTGGATCATTATATATATTTTTTTGTACATCTTGCGTGTTGAGGAGCGATTACAAGCGATCTCGCTTTATTTGTCTTGTTCCACTTATGATTGGCAAAAAACCCGAGACTCGAAACGAAAAAATCACATTGTTGTGTGTTATGAGTATATAATCCACGCCACTTATGCAGATTCTCTCACAATTCAACTCCAACAGCAACCTCCAGCGATGATAATAAGTAGACAAAATGTTGCAAGACCCCACCCAGGTCTACGCCAATCATCTAATCCAGCTCAGGGCCCTTTCAGTTCACTTATTCCCACATTTTCAGGGTATTTAAAGAGTCTTCTTCAAGGAGGAAAATTATTTAATACCACAGAGAAGCGGAGAAGCCAGCGAACTCAGTAAGTCTGGTGTCTTTCTCCAAGCTTTTCTCGGCAATTCAATGTTGTTTTGTTGTGTTGTCGTCTTTGTTGGTAGCAATGTTAATTACCCCGAAAAAGGGGGAATGATATGGCTTTGCAGGCCGCCTAAGCGTGACTAAAATGTTACCTAAGCTGGATAGCTCCTCCGCATATATGTATCTCAAAGAGAGTACAATTTCCAAGCTAATTATCAAACGGAGAACAACGCAATTACCATAGGGAGTTGGGGCTTCCCTTACTTTATGTAAACCCTCGTCTCGGGGCAACGATTGTTGTGACAGTCAGTTGTCATCATCATCATCATTGTCATTATCATCACAGCCCGGGGGCATCTTCATCCGATTAACCAAACCTGACAGGCAGCTGCAACAACAGCAGCCACCAGGTTGGTTCACCATTTTCGGCAGGTCACCATTTATGGTCATGGGCATGTCATTTGCATATACTCCTCGCAGCGGAACTCCTTTCTCCAGAGATACGAGAGATGCAAACAATGTAGGAAGTGGGGAAAAACCATTTAAGATGGATATTTTCGGTACATATGGTAATGAGTTTGGGGAAACTAAGTGAAACTAAGGCTGTTACTTCCGGTCAAGACGGAAATTTTAAAGGAAAAAGGTGTGAAAGCCTTACAGTGATAATTATCGATCTCATATCTTTTATGTTTTCTTTTTCTAACTTTTCCTTAATCCTTAATCTCTTCTAGGAAACCCCTGTATGTGCCACCCCCGCAGAAGCACTACAAGATCGTCTTCATCAAGGCTCCATCCCCGCCAGCACCTACTGCTCCGATCATCCCCCAGTTCCCACAGAACGAGGAGAAGACCCTGGTCTATGTGCTAGTCAAGAAGCCCGAGGAGCAGCCCGAGCTCATTATCCCCACGCCGGCGCCCACACAGCCCAGCAAGCCGGAGGTGTACTTCATCCGTTACAAGACCCAGAAGGAGGAGACTGGTCCGTATCCCAACAGTGTGGCGCCACCGGCACCCGAGTATGGAGCACCAGCTGCCCCGCCCGCGCCCTCGGCGCCCAGCAGCTCATATGGAGCCCCATCCCACTAAGGAGATCGGAACCCAAACTGAAGTCCGATTTACGGCGAAAACTGAAACCCAACTCCCACTCATGGCAAACTGCATATATAATCCTTATGTGTATTATATTTTCTGATCTGTTTCAAATGACTTTAACGCGTGACAAAGTTTACAACGAATATCCCTCAATTTTCCCCCGAATTCTTACCTCTGAAGTTGTTTCTAAACCACATTGTATGAGAATGTTTTCCATATCTAGGCTGTTTGTTTCAAATTGTTTGTTTTAGTCTTAAGTCTTAGGAATTTAAGCGAACGATGCGTTATACACTTTAAAACACACCCTCGATACACTCACTGCGAAAAGACGAAAGACGACACTTAGCCTTAGTTATCGATAGAGATATCGATCCCGATGAACGAAACACGATATATACATGATACATCATGATTCTTTTCATCACACAAATGCATTTTCATCTAGGCAATTTTTACCTATCCCCATATTGCTATTTTTCGCACAGCGAAACAATCGAAAAAGCTACAAAAAAAATGTATAAATGAAGATAATTAATGATACTCAAGTATGTATAAATGTTGAAAACAAAAACAAAAAAAAACATCAATGGCTAAATAAAAGTTTAACGAATTATTTGTATTTGAATTGAGTTTTTATTTTAAATTAATTATAGTACAGAAGTCAGCAAAATTCTGAGGAAACAATTTATTATTTTGAAAGAAATTGGCAAGCTAAAAAGTATAAATATCTATTTACCATCGACATTTTAATATAAATCTCCTAGTAATATAGATTTTTCCCTTTTCAAGCCTCTGCACATTTCAAACTGTAACGCTTTTGGTGTTGCCACCTGAAGCTCAACCGTCAGATGGCGCCTCCGAAGTAAGTGTAAAACTATACAAAAGTGACTTCCAAACTGGTTAACTCCTTTCACTTGACTTTAAGCCCCTTAGCTCTCCGATTTCGTTTAGTTTCGTTTGCTTTTGCTTGGATTACAATAAAATTTGATTTACCCAATGCAGTGAAAATGTTTTTCACGTAAATTTCCACCTCAAGTTTTATGATAATTAGTAAGGAAACACTTTAAAATCGGATTGGATTACCAAAGTTTTTCCTCGTACCGTTGTACAACCTTAATACCAATCAGCGAGGACCACTTTAATTGAGCTGTTCCCCGCTGTCCACTTCCACCAACACTTTGGCCAACAGGAAAAATGAAAAAATAGGGAGAAAAAATAAAGGTAAAGGTAAATCCGGAGACCAGAGTGCGGACCAAACCCATTCCCGGACCCCCGACACATGCTTTTAAATACAAACGAACACACACTCGACAACGGCTCCTTCACGAGCCTGCCAAATGTAAGCGAACTTAAAAACACATCGTTTGCATTTGGGGCCTCCTCCCTCCTCTCCATAACCCCCTCTTAGTCCGCCCCCTGGAAAATCCAACCCCTCCCTACTCCATCAGCAGCAACAACTCCAAGCGGCACTTAAGTGACGCTCCAGCAGCTCAACTATCACCGTGTGTTTTCACGTGTGCGTCTTCTTATTCTGTTTACTACAGGTATTCTGATGGAAAACAAAGGTATATTGTATCTGTGCTGATGGAACTCTGTTTTTAGCAAAAGTATAGTTATTATATTTGGTATGGAAGCTTGATATACTTAAATATATCAAATTATAATAGTAAAATAATTATAGATATTACAAAATATTAAATATGGTATCTGTGCTGATGGATCTCTGTTGCTAGGAAAGCTATAATTGTGAGTTTTGGGATGCAGGCTTGTTATGTTATAATATATCAGATTATAATGTTAAAATAATTATAAATAATGAGTATTAATTAATAATGTATCTGTGCTGATGGATCTCTGTTAGAAAAGCCATATTTAGAAAGTTTTATTGGTACTTTTTATATTTACAAGGTACCTCTCAAGTCCAACTCTTTTCATACTCCTTTTCATTTGTTTTTGTTTTTTTTTCTGATGTTACCTGCAGCCAAGCTTGTGAGCATTTTGATGTCTCTACAATATAAACATCATTTGCGTTGTTCCTTTTGTTTTAGCCTCGCTGATTTTCTGTTTACCTGAGCTGTCAAAGCTTGTCGTTGACCAAAAAAAAAAAAAAGAAAATAGAATTTCCCTAAGAGCGGCAGTCAGGAAGAGTGAAAGTCCATCGTCCTACCCTTCGTGGAGAAGGATTTTGGGAGCATTTTTCTCTCCAACTCTCTTCTTTTGTGGCACGCCTGCGCGTGGAAATCGCTTGGGAAACCCAAACCCAATCGTAACAACCGAAACCGAAGCCGAGTTCAGTTGCCATTGTAATGCCAACGCTGTCGGCACGCCTTTGGCTTTCTCGCCTCGCGGGTTTCTTTTATTTCTGTTATTCGTCGTCGCAGTGAAGTGACAGGAAAATCGGAAGAAGAAGAAGAGGGAAAAGCAAACCAAATCCCAGCAAACGTCGTGTTAAATAAAGTATAAATCATGGCAATACGGAAGCAAGTCAAAGTCCAAGTCGGAGTTGAGCCAAAGATGAAATCAACAGCGAGAAATTGCCAGTCATAAAAAAAAAGGGTTTGTGTTTGTTCCTGTTCAGTGAATGAGCCTGTGTGTGTGTGTTGTGTTTGCGTGCCAGTGTGTGTTGTGCCAAAAGGGAAATCCCTTAAACCCCCCCACCAGAAAAGCCTTAACCCCTGACTTCGGGCTAGAGACTCCCCTATTGTGCGTTCTGTGTACAATTAGAAGGCATTGCCAATCGATTTGTGTGAAAAGCCAAAGCTAAAACTCAAAAGGTGGACGACGCCAATCCTCAAACAACAACAAAAACAACAACAAGACCATATAAAAAAGGAGCCCAGGAAGGCAAAAAATAGAAAGAAAAGAATGGCAAAAGCCACCAAAGAAGTTCCCTTTTTTTAGTTGGCAGGTGCGCGTAGTCTGAAAAATGAAGTTGAACCGAACCCAAAGTTGTTGCCTGTCATTCAGGGAAGAAAAAGAAATGAAATGGTTGGGGGAAACTCAGGGAAACTCAGGGAAACTCAGGGAAACCCAGGGAAACCCGGGGAAAGTCGGAGAAACTCAGGGGCCAAAATAGGACCGTGAGTCCAGGGGACAATATTAATGAAAGACGTTGCAAAAATGTCACGTTTCTCCAAGTCAAATTGAAATAATAATGAAGGCATTGAAGAAATGTCACGACTCTGACAGAAAAAGTCCAAAGGAATTTACATGAATATATAAGAATATCTCGAAAGTAGAAGAACAACATTGAACATAACAAGTAAAGTTGATAATTCGAGTAATATAAAGCATAACAAGCTCAGATAAGAGACAGCTCCCGGGTTCCCCCTTGGGTTCTCTGAAATTCCTAGAGGGGAATTTCCTAAATGAACTTGAAGTTTGAGTGACATATGACAAGAGGAAGCCCAGAATCCCGGAAGAACACTTTCAAGATGATTAAAGGAATTCTTTAGGGAAACAAAGAGAGAGTAATGAATAATTAAAATTATTATTAGGGATTGAAACTAAATATAAACTTTAATAAATTGGCTAGGAAAAGTATGTGCTTAATGGAATTAAATAAATATTTAAGTGGGGAAAGTAAATTTAAAAAAATAATAAACCTAAACAGTAAAAAAATATATTTTAAACATGAAAATAATATACACTTTTAATCTAAGAAAAGTTAATTAACCTAATTTATAATTCTACAACAAATAAATCCTATTAAATGAAATAAACCTTAAATAAATACCCTACAAGGCTAAACACTTTTACTACCTTATAAACCTCTTAAAAATTAACTCAAAACTGTGGAAAACCCCCCCTGGGAACCCCTAAATACAAAAATGTTGCACGAAAACTTTTTAAATAGAAATAAACTGAGACGAAATACGACAAGTGTCCCCAAAAGAATACTTCTCCTTGTTCATAAAGGCATCCAAAGAACAGCAAATAATTTCAACCCGTAAAATCCCCAACAAGTTCTAGACATAAATTTGATTTTATGCACAAGATGCTACAAGTGAATAAAACACGAGCTTAGTGCCCGGAGTGACAGTGCGAGCATATGATAGTGATGATAGTACAGTGAAGCATGTGCCCAATAAACAGATGTGCCCATAACCATAAAGCGAAAGTGTTATGGCCATTACCGAAGGGTCCTTTTGGCGGCATATCATCTACCAAATAACTTGTGCCTATTGGCCCGGACCGAAATCGCAATTTATGACGGGACCAAACTATTTAAAGAACCATAAAATTTCCCCCACTCAGCGTTATATAAAACAAACAAACTTTATGGCCAAAGACGGCGACGATTGACGATTTTAAGCAATGGTCATAAAACAAAAGCCAGGATTTCGGCTTCCTTATTAACTCCCAATTTTATTTCCTTTGTCGCCCCCAAACAAAAAAAAAGGAACGGAAAAGTGCTTCCAGCCATAAACCAATCTCCACCAACTGTGGCAACCAATAAGCTACGACGAACCACCATGGCCACCGCCAGCAGTAGCAGCAGCAGCATTCCCGCCCGGAACGGTGGCTTCTGTGGTGCACTGCAGCGGGCCCCACCGCCCATGCCCGCCTCCCTCAGCCGCCGGCTGAGCAGCCGCGAGTGCTATGGCGTGGGCAAGGTAAAGGTCATGCTGCGAGTGGCAGAGCGGGACAGGAACTCGAGCGGATCTGGAGAGCCCGAGTACATGGCGCTGGACAAGAAGAAGCGACAGGTGACGCTCACTGATCCCAGGAATGTGGTGTGTCCGCCGCCGCAGGCTGCCCAGGAACGGGCGCCCATGGTGGCAGCACCCAAAATGTTTGCATTCGATAATCTCTTCACCGCCGAGGATAAGCAGGTGAGTTTCGAGAGAAATTTAATCCCTATAAAATGTAGAGATTTTAAATTCCATTATTTTGAAATCACACCTTAAATCCTAAAGCCTTGAAGAATTTATGGAATTTATGTCTATGAGTACGAGACACTCAAAAGCTTTTAATGGATTTTGTGAACACAGAGGCTTTATTTTCTTCAGAAACATATTGTTTTGCCATAAAATGTTTTATATTTATTGTAGGAAATTATTTTATATCTTTAAATTATGACTTTTTCCTTTCTTACTTTTTTTTTAATTTTCGGAGCAACTTAATTTATATATTATTTTATTTAAAAATAAAATTCAGCCTTAAAAAAATCATTTAAAATATATAAAATGCATTTTAAATAATAATTTCTTTACTAAAAATGGGTTTCACACTTGCCAACTGCAAATGAAATGATAAACAATACAAATTAGTTAAGCTTTTAGTAATTTATGAAAACACTCAGTCTATGTGTGTTATTCTGTGTAATTTCCACGTTTATTTGTAATTACAATGTAGGCCTAATTAAACAAATAAGCCATAAGCTCTGTAAACGAGCTTAATGACTTGAACTAAGTTACAAAAAAAAGAGAATATATAAAAATGAAAGTTACAAAAATGTTTACAATAAGAGAAAAAAGCAAAGTGAAAATTAATATTATTTTTAACGCTTTAAAAGCAACCAAATAAATTACATTTATCAAAATAAAAATATTACACATCAAATATTTATTTACAATCACAAAACCTCTACCAAAATTAATAAAATAATATTAAGATACATCTTGACATACAAAAGATACAATATTCGCATCTTTGTCACTCCCTCCAGATGAGTTCAGCTATTTAACTTGTTATGGCATTACAAAAGAGGTGTTAGTAATTCCTGAGAATAACAAGTCACCACAAAATGCGACAATCAATCTTCATAATTCATACGGAAACCGAAGTTCTATCCCCAAGATTTATGACCCTTGAAGTGCAATCACTCATAAGGCAATCCCCCTCAGAACAGTACAGAGCGAGAGGAGGAAAGAAAAGAAAGAAAAATACACCCAATAGAATTAACACATACGCGGATTGTCCTCCCCCATCGGATCTAATCAGCAATCGAATTAACCCCGCAATCGAACCCATTAGTATGCCTTGTTAGCCACCACCCACTGACCTCAACTCGGCACTTCTCACTCCTCAATATACACTGGAAATAAATGTAATAGAAGTGATAATGTTTACTAACAAATTGAAGACTCTTGGGAGGTTGGAAATAATACTTAATATTTTTTTGAATTTTTTTTTTAGATAGTCTCGAAATATTTAAAAATATTCTGGCATATGTTAAAACCTTTTTTTTATGAAATTCTGGAAGCTTTTAAATTTTCTGTTAATTTTAATTATAATATTAATATTTATAATTATATATAACCTTATTACATACTCTGGAAATATATGAAACTATAGTTATGACTTCGCCTAGCTATTTTACTATCTTTTTCTATTATTAATTTTTTATCAATAAAATATAATACCCAAAAAATAATAAACCCCATTTAAAGTAATATTTTCTCCCTGTACATCTCATATATTTATATATATTCCAGTCGGATGTGTGTGCATCGGCGTTGAGCGAAGTGATACCCGCCGTGCTCGAAGGCTCCGATGGTTGCCTGCTAGCCATGGGATATCCAGGCACTGGACAGCCCCAAACGGTGCTGGGCGAGGTGGGCAGCCCTGGCAGCAGCAGTGGGGGAATGTGCTCCCTGGGAGCGGCCCCCTGTGCCATCGCCTGGCTGTACAAGGGCATCCAGGAGCGGCGGCAAAAGAGCGGAGCACGGTTCTCGGTGCGTGTGAGCGCCGTGGGCGTTAGTGCCACCAAACCGGATGCCCTCTCGCAGGACTTGCTCATCTCGCATGCAGCCGGTAAGCATATGGACAGGGAGCTTGAGGATCCAGGAATGGGGATTCCAGGATAAAAGGGAGAGATAGTTGTTTGACTTTAAGAGTTTTAGTTAACTAAGTTTATATATAATATATAGAAAGAGTTAGCAAAGTTTTATGGTCCTTAATCGGGTTTAAAATGTAATACAATTAATTAACTAATTAAAAAAGTTTTCTACGAGAAAATTGGCTAAGCTAATATTGAGTTCCTTCAACCTTTAGCAACTCGCATTGCTTAATTTCCATCTCTCTGTTTAATTTAGCTTTTTGTACCCTTAATTTCGGCTACTTAAGCTCCGACTCTGGTCCACCTGTTAGCTGCCAGCGGGCAAAATCGCCGGCAGGATGAATGGCTCCTTCGTGAATGGAGATTGGGGTTGTGGGGGAAAGTGTGGGTTAACGCGGAACTGGGGAACCTGGGAACGTGGACCTGGGGGCGTGGCGTAATGTTGCCCCTGGGCCAAACAATGATGATGATGACTGGGGCGGGTTCGGGGTCGTAACTGGCCCAATTTGAATAAACTTAACCTGGGCAGTAGCAGTTCCCCGCCCTCCCTATCATCACCATGAAGCCCCCCTCACACTCTTTATCCCCGTAGAATACGGCGTTTATTCCCACATAAAACCTAATGCCCTTTTCATTCACTCCCCGCTTGTTCTCTTCTGTTTTCTATTTTTTCCTTCTGGAACTCCAACTCCACTGCCAACACCGACTCCGACTCCGATGGCTACACAGAATCTGACGACTCCCCGGGGATTTATTTGCGTGACGACTTCCTTGGCGGTCCAACGGAACTACGTGCACCCACCGCCGAGCGTGCGGCGTTGTTCCTCGACTCGGCACTGGCCGGACGCTTAAAAAGTTCCGGTTCCACGGGATCCGGGTGTACTTCTTCTACGCCAGCGGGATGTGGTGGATATGCTGCCCCCTTGGAGTCCGCCCTCATCTTTACGCTGCACGTCTACCAGTACAGCCTGTCCCGTAAGGGCGGTGGTAAGTGTCCAACACATTGTTGTTGTCATTCTCTCCTTTATATGGGGTGTTATGGTTTAAGGGGAAAGGTTGCCAACAATGTTGCAAGTTCGTGGGAATTTTTTGAAAGAAGTGTATAAATTGTATCACATTTTATTTATATATTTTTTTTTTAAATATTTAGTTTTAGAAACATTGTTGACGAAAGAAAAATGTATAAAAATATTTGATATAAAAATTATAAATGAAACATTTTTAATATTTTTAAAGCTAAAAACAATAAAAACAGTACAAGAAACAAATATTTAAAATAACCTTTTTATATATTTGTAAGATATTGAAATTTTAACATTAAAGGCAATCATTTTCGATTTTCTAAGATATTATAGTTCATTATAAAGTAAATATATCATTCTAATATAGATTTAATATATCAAAACTAAATTCAGGTCTCAAAATCTAGTTCTTTTAAGAATGTCAGTGTATTCATAGCTACGGTTTTCTAAAGATTCCTTTTCCTTCTTGTTATTGCTATTGTTGCTGCTGCTGCCACTCAAGTGGCCCGCTAAATGCTTCACTACCACTAGACGGCAGCGCCATTAAAGTGTCGCATTTCCTCCACTCCAACACCCCAAAACACCCCACCACCCAACACCCAGCGTTGCCCACAAACCAAGACCAGGACTCACACCCTTTAAAAACTTCACTTCCTTTTATTCCTTCTTTTTATTTAAACACGGAGAAAAAAAAGCAAAAAAAGGCAACTGAGCTTTTTTAAAAGATTTTCATAGAAAAAATAAACTTAATACAAAAATTTAAGTCGGTAAAATATCAGAAAATATAATTTCTAGTGAAGTCTTTGTATAAAAAAATATTTCTTTTTAAAAAATACTCGTTTATACATTTTTTTCCCTTCTAAAGAAAGTTTCATAATTTCGTTGTCTTCATTTCTCTCTCTGTACAGTGGCTGGCGGTCGGAGCCGTTTACATATCATCGACCTAGGCGGGTGTGCGAATCGCAGCGGGGGGCTGCCGCTGTCGGGGATCGGGAACATACTGCTGGCGATACTATCCGGCCAGCGGCATCCCCCACACAAGGACCACCCGCTGACGCCGCTGCTCAAGGACTGCCTGGCGCCCATCACCTGCCATGTGGCCATCGTGGCACATGTGCGGCCGGAGCAAAGCTACCAGGACGCCCTATCCACCATTCAAATTGCGTCGAGAATTCATCGCTTGCGTCGCAGGAAGCACCGTGTCCCCATGCCCCTGGCTGTGGGATTGGCCCAGGGTCTGGGCGGTGGTTCTTCTGCGGGCTCAGGAGCGGATCCCTCAAGCTCGGAAATCTCAGCCGACACTGTCATCTATATGGGGCCCAATGACGATGCCACGGATGGTGAGCATCCGCCCGTATATCTGCCATCGCTGAGTGCCGGCGACAATCGGGCGGTGATGAGCAAAGCCCTAAAGGGTAGCGGCATGGAGAAGCCCCCCTCGAAGTCGGCCACCAATAGTCCCATGATGATGAAGAAGGCCATGGCAGTGGAGAAAGGTAACTATTTTTTTGTAAATTATAATTAGCTCACAAAAAGAACCAAGATTCTTAGTAAATTCTTTAGAAAATATATTAATTATTATCCTAACCAATCCCCTTCCTTTCTGCCACTTAATCCTTTCCAGCTAAAAAACTTCCAGGAAGCAATACGGGCAGCCTGAAGCGTCAAGCAGGAGCAGGAGCCTGCTCTTCTCCATTGATTCCCCACGAGCAGCCACAGTTACAGCAGCAGCAGGTCGTCATGGGTTCACCCATTCCGATACCCAGGCACATGGTGTCCAAGGGATCGATGGTACCCTCCCCCAAAGGCTCACCGCTGCGCAGAGGAGGTGCCCATCCCGGAGCTGCTCTGGAACAACTGGAGGCTGGAATGCGAAAGATCACCGAGGAGCAGTGGATTGATGGTCCACGAGTTTCCCGGGCCAAAGTGGCCGAAGCTCGCCATCTAATGCGCGAGGTTAATCATGTGAAACAGTGCGAGACCTGGGTGGATGGACCCAAGTCTCAGTCCTGCCGATCCCTCACAGCCGGCAACCTGCCAGCTGCGGGTGCAAGTCAAACGCAGGGCTATGGCTTCATGGATGCCCACAAAAAGACCATGATTCGGCAATGGGTAGAGAATCAGACATCGCAAGTCTTCCAAAGCACCGTCTCCGCCAGCAACTCACCCACAGCCCTGCACTGGAAGCTGTCGCAGTTGAAGCAGAAATCCTTGGATCTTCCCGACAGACCTGCCTTTCAGACAGAACCCTCTTCCTTGGATCTCAATCAGCCGTGCTTTGAGAGTCTTCCCCTGCTGGATCCTGCTCCACCGGATGGCGATGAGGATGAGGACAGTGGTCCCTCGGAGGTTCCGCCTGCTCTTCCATTACTGGATGATCCCCTGGGTTCCAGGGATATCTCCCAGGATAACCTGCAACGAATGCTGTCGCGGCATGTGTCCAGAGAACAGCTCCATGAGGCAGAATTTGTGGCCAGTAGAGCCTCTTCCTCGCATCATCCCTCGCAAAGGAGTATCGATTGCGGTCAGCAGGTTACAGAGGAGGAGATAGCCAGGACTATGGCCAGAGATCGAGACCAGGAGCTTGGGGCACATCCTCTGGCTGCTCTGAGTCATTGCGATAACTTGTCCTTTGTGTCTAGCTTCAACATGGCCTGCGAATCCTTTAGCGAGTGCGGCGAGAGAGCTAGGTGAGTTGCTAAACACGAATCGTATTTTAAAGAAATTCCATCGTAACAGGATTATTTAATTTATTTAAACTCCTAAATTAATACTCCCCTTTCCCTACCTTATTTTCTCCTTCCCCTAGACACCAATTCGATCAGCTGGCCCGCCTCCACGAGATCTTCACCTCACAACTGGCCATGGCCGAGGTCACCCCCTCAGCCGCCCTTTTTCGAACGGATGTGGGCAGTGTTTTCAGTGAACCCGTCTACCACTTTAATGTGGGCCAAAGCAGCGTTTGCAGTGAACCGGCCTACAGACTGACACCCAGTCCCCCAAAGCAACCATCGCACAGCCCCAGCCAAGGATCCCTGCCCAGCCTCAATGGCATCATGGAGATAGCCGGCATGGATGACTATGCACTGCTCCGGCAGCCCGATGGAGCTTCGGATCCGAATCTGCAAAAGGGTGAGAAGAGATTTACACCGCAGCACGATGATATATGTGAGTTGGATGAGAAATCTATGGCGGCGGCGGTGAACAAGCGAAATTCTCTTGAGGATGCCCAACACAAGCTGAACGAAATCACGAATATACTCCCCCTGGCCGCCCAATCGCGTCTTCCCCTGCTGCCCTTGAATACCAGTTCCGAGGCCTATGACAGTGGTCATGACTCCAATTCCACACCCAGAACTTCCAAACATTCTGGGATTTCAAGAAGAGCCGAGAGTGGTTATCATAGTGTGGCCACTGTAAGGGATTCGGATGAGAGTAGCTTCGCATCCGGCATGTCCAAGGGTCAGAGGCATCGCATAACGATCTCTGGTTCGGGGGCAGTAACAACAGCCTCGGGCAATGGCCATTACCAGCGGCACAGTCACAAGAAGCGACATCGCCAGGATCATCAGGCGGGAGGAACTAACAAGGGCCTCTGCAACTGGCTCCTGACACCGTTCTCCTGCACCTATCCAGAGACTGAGGGTGAGATCAGCGATTTTTAGAAACAAAAATGTTAAGATACACCGCATCCGAGTCCAAAAAAAAAACACCCACCAAAAAAAGAGAAAATCCGAGCTAGTCCAGCATTCAAAATGGCCAAACACTGAACACAAACCAAAAAAGGAACAAAAATATCATAAAGTTTTAGGTAAACGACTAGGATGAAGGGTAGAAGGATAGAAGAATCTTTGATAGCGACTGATTAAATTTTACTAGGCGACGGCTGCCACAACAAACAAAGAAAAACACAAACGAAAAACCAAACACAAGCAAATGAAAGCGAAATCTAAAACCAAAAAACACATGCAATTTTAAAGTAATCTAATACCTAACCCAATTACCTAAATAACTCATAATAACAAGCATGGGTTTTCCAGCTATTAAGACAGTGGAAAATTCTGGTAAAATCAGCAGGAAAATGCTTATAGAGATTTAATTTTCTTAAATGGAAAACTGAAGAAGAGAAGAAGTAAACATATCTATACTAGGGGAAAAGCAGAAAATATCGGTATATCGAAACTTTAAGAATATTTTAAAACGATTTTTTAACGTTGCACAATATCAAATTGAGATAAAGACATAATATTTTAGTTTTTACAAACGTAAAACTTCCTCCAAATTTTTTTCAGAATTTTAAAATCAAGCAACTCCACTGTCTTAAGAGTTATAAAACTAACTATGCTATAAATCAATCGAATCAATCACTCGACTCACTCACTCACTCACTAAATACACGCATAAGTTCAAACGGGGCTTTAAATATCTTAAGTTGCCAGCTAGCATAATGGATTGGGGTAATCGGAATCGAAATCGGGATTATATGCCATATAAAGAAACTAACGGAAATGGGACTCAAAAGCCCGCTGCTCTGTGAGAGCTAGACAAAGTTCTCGCCTGGAAACTGATTATCCCTATTGTATCTATAAATATTGAACATAAAATATATAAATTAACATAATCAGGCTACACAATCACTATGACTTTACAATGCAGAGATACATCTATATACATACACTATATATACACTATATATACATGCATATATCATATATATAGCTTATATTTATTGTTTTAGTTTTGGGTTATTTGTTCGGGCAGTCGATTTAAGATCAAGTATGCTAAATGTTGAATGTTTGCTTATTCAAACGATTTATTGCCAATTATAAGTTACCAAATGTTTAAATTAATTGTTAGTTAGCTAAAGTTATATACACAAACACACACACACACACATCTACTACTAATCATGAAGAGCGACAAGAACCACTGACTATAAAAGCGAAAAGCTGGGAGAGGTTTTTTGCAAAGTAGACAAATGTTAAACATACAATTTTGTTGCCATTTTTGCCTAAATAAACTATGTTACAAATAAAACGAAAAATCGAACAAACGGAAGCATAAGAAAATTCAACACAAAAAAAATAAATAAATTATATATATATATTTATCAGAGATACATATAATATACATAAGGAGAGCGGCGAGATTTTAAGGAAACTTAATGCATATTCTATATATATATATAAACATATTAATATAAATAATAATAATGAATGCATGCATGAATGAAAGAAAGCCCGGAGGATCTCTGGGTATAGCTACAAATTTTTGTGCCGCATTTTTCGTTTCATTTCGAATATCGATCGTCATTAACTATAATTATTATCGAGACATTCCTTCATTGCCTTTTAAGTCAGCGTATCATCATCAGCATATAAAATACAGCAAAAAGCGAAACAATGTCTAAACACAACACTAATTATATTGCATTATCCTCCATACATACTATTTCGTACAATTATTATTATTCCACAATTATCAAGCGTAGTTAATCACAACATCCAATCTCCCGCTCGTCTATGCTTTAAATTTTAAACATAATCACCTAAAATCTAAACCCATACCACCACACACTTCTTTCAAGCCCAAAAAATTGCAATGTGCAAAATCCTGCAAAAACCCAAAACCTACATATAATATACACTCATACATACATACATACATCTATGATGGAGTCGTCGACTTCGACGCTGAATACAGACTAATTATTTTTTATAATATAAACAAATTGACAGCTGGTTTTATTGCTAACTGGGCGGGCAACACGTTGAATGGGGGATGCTATGCTATGCTATGTTTCTGGCTTTTGGCCAGGAGGAACGTTATTTGTGCCTCAGTTGTTGGGCAAATAAAGTTGACGTTTTATAGATAGAGACATGTGCGATACACCCATCCGATGTGTGTTTGTGCCGTAGATCTAAACGTGGCAGGCACTCACTCTCCACTCCACCCCGGGAAAACTCCATCTCCCCTCGGAGAAACAGATGATGGAAACGTGCGGGCGTACAGAGACTTGTCGAACAATAAAACACGAAAAGGAGAACAGCACGCCGGAAAAGTGAAGTTTGTATACTCTGCTTAAAGGGGGGAAAAAATATAAAGGCTGGATAAAGCTGGAAACGCAGTTTTTACAGAGGGGTAAGTATGCGGAAAAGCCAGCCAAGTTGTGTTTACACTCTCCTCAATAAATATGTTGCACTGCAATCTTTTGTAGCTGATTGAAGAAACGTGATCTGACAATGGTGCATAAGTAGATATTTAACCAGAGCTCGGGTCTAGAGTTTCTTTATTTGGTTTACTTAGCAAACATTGAAGTTTAAAGTGGTTAATGGTTTAAGAAATAGAATACACAGCTTTTCATTCAAAAAAAGAATTATTAAGTATTAAATAAAAGATCAATTTTTGATCTTTAAAACAAATCATTTGGTCTTTTTTATTATTAATAACTTTTGCTATTTATTTTGAGCTGTAAATCACGAGTCGGATGTTAAGATGCCGAAAAATATATAGATATATCGATACTGTATCGATATGTTATATAAAATACCTTATATATATTTTAGCACTTCCATATATGGGCACTATACTTATATTATCCAACCACTATAATCATAAAAATGAGACGAATAAATTAAACAACATTTTTAGATATTTTTTTTATGATTTTATCGATCAACTTTTCAATGCTTTCGATATACAACTTTCGATACAGTACTAAATATTTTGTCGATAATTTTTTTTTTTACTTCTTCTGTCGATAATCATCCCAATCATCCCATTAACCTCATAAAGGTATTATAAAAGTGAAGTAATTTGAGGTACAATTTGGTATTATGGATCAAAAATAACTCTAATGTCCTGCTCAGAAACCAGTACCAGCACAAAAATGATGTAATTTACTTGTAACAGCCCTTTTTTTACCCGATCCTTTACTTCCTTTTTTAAAGAAAATCTCTAAACTTCTAAACGTATTTGACAACAAAATCCAACTTATATATACCATCCAAACTGGACACTTAAATAGACGACTTGACTCCTTGAATTAAATTTGATTTGAACTTCCTCGTAAATGTTCAAAACTTTCAAAGTACCTTCCATCGCTTAGAGTACAACAATAAAATGTGTTGGCACCTTCTGGCAAATGCCGCCCGCGTTCTACAATGCGAAAAACTCGTATAAGTAAAGTTCTGCGTTCTGGGTGCCTGCCCTCCTCCTACCCCCGTCACCCATTTACATCCTTCACTTTTCCCATCACCTCCATCCATTTTACCATTTCCATTTGAGTTTTTTTCCACCCCATCCACCTCGGCCAAGGAGCCGGCAGCGATTTTTCTTGTTTGCTGCCATCGTCTTCGTCTTTTGTCTGCCGCCCTTTTCATGTCGCGTTCCTCGCAAACGTCGCCATTTTTTTGCAGAAGCCGAAGCAGGAGCAGTAGCAGCAGCTCCTTAGCTCCTGTCCCGCCGCTTTTTGTACTTTTACAACCCTCTTATCGGGAAAACTTTAAATTTTCGCATTCGCAATTCGCAGTCACAAATGCAAATGATGCCCCGCCCACCAATCTACACTATGAGAAATGTGAAAACATTTAAATTGGACTTCCTGTTGGGTTTTCTTAAATAAAGTAAAAGGAAATCAATTGAAATGGTGGCCAAAAGTATGATACAATGAATAAATTTGAGACCATAGAGATTCTATAGCATTCTTGGGATAGTTTTTTAGAAGATTTTAAATCCAAACAGGATAATGTTAAATCTTTGATAGAAAATCAAATTAACAGAGAATTTATAAGGTAAGGAAAAAATCTCTCAAAACCAACAGATCCCATCCATGATCTTAACTACCAAGATCTTGAACAAAATATTATAAATATATATTTTCCTTATATTTAGGAAACCTTTTTTCCCCCAAGTGTACATAGGTTAGGGGGAAAAGTGGCAAATCAAGGGAATGAGAATCCTGGGAGATCCTATGGCTTGCTCTCGGGGAGTCGAGTCTGTTCACCATATGTTGCCAATTGAGGCGAAAATCGAAAACTCGTCTATGGTATGGAATTGTTTATGACCCCAGCGGATTGAGGACATTCAGGGACTGACTTTCTTTTTTCCTATAATATGGCATTGGCTCCACCCCATATCGCCCACTATTCCATCACCCTTTCCCTTCTTACTTTTTCTCCTGCATTTTCCTTCAACTTTTCCCCATATTTTCCCTGGGTTTTTTTTTTGCTGCTGTCGCCTTTTAATTATGGCTCGCAAATTATTTTCGAATTTTTCCATCATACTGCGGAAATAAATGTTGACTGCAATTTCCCGGCACACCGTCGACCCTTCAACCCAATTCCGAACAGGATGGAAAAGGATTCGAACCATTTCTTGTATTTTTCCTGTGTGTGCTTTATTTTTTTTTGCTTTTTGCTGCACTTTTCCCTCACTCGGTTTATTTTATATTTTTGCCAGGTAGCAAGAGTTTCCCAGAGTCCAGAGGAATTGGCAGAGCTGGGAGTTTCCTGGAGTTCTCGTTGTTGTTGTTGCCGTTGTTGTGACCTAAAAAAATATTCACACTCACTTCACTTGTCAAGTTGAATAAAGCAAAACGCTGCCCTGAAATCATGAGCGTGGGAGGAATGCGGAAGAGCGCCATAGTTGGGGAGTTGGCAAAAAAAAATATACTATATACATATATATGAAACTCTTATATATGCAAATACAGCGCATTTCAGATATATAATTCTGTTTGACCCGCTGCAATCTGGAATAAATCTAGCTTAGGGAAGGTAAGGCTATGATTTATTCCATTGCTTAGCTGATGTAAGGACAAGCATTAGGTACCTAGGAGCTTGAGACTGATTTAATTCAACATTAGATATCTAAAGAAGAATATCAGAGTGTTTTTATGATTTTACATGAATGTAAAGTTGATTTATTAAATAAGAAACATTGTTAGAATTAAAAAAACATGTATAAGGAAGGCCATAAAATATATAGATTAAAAAGGACTCTAAAGAAATACAAGGGGTTTCTTTTGAAAGTATTCGTATTTTGTAGCATACTTTTAATTAAATTTAAACAAAACTCCCGTAGACTTATAGTTTTCTCTCGAACTGTATCTGTTCTATTTGTTTGTGTGTACAACACTCATTAAAATCCGTCCCACTTGCAATTAGAGTTTGTCATTTGACAGCAACGCGAAAAATATATACATACATACATAATATATTGGTGACAAGCGAGCAACAAATAATAAAAGTGACAACAAACATCGAAATCAACTCAGCGTTTGGGAAATTACCATTTCTGCGGGGCATCGCTGATAAATGTCATCACCGGTTTTCCCATTCCGAGTTTTCCACAAGTTGAAAAATGGGATTTTATAATTTAGAATCCGTTTTCGATTGGATTTTATATAATAAATTGCTGAATTTTAATTGGATTAGATTTGTCAATAATTTTGGGTTTCATTTTATTTAGAAAATAACTTTAGAATTTTATATCAATGCCCAAAGTTACCTTTACAAAATAATCGAAAATCCCATAATTTATTTAAATCTTTAACTGAAAATCACTGAGCCCCAAAAATAAGACATCAATAAAAGAGTTCTTTATTTGAATTACCCTAATAAAATGTACCTGCATTATTATTCATTCCCTTTGAAACATTCTAAATACTTTCCCATCCGTGAAAACTCTCCATTCTGCTCCACTCACCCGTTTCAGCCCAAGGAGAGAAAGTATACGAGTTAAAGTACCCGCCACAAGTACTTATCGACAGATACCGTATCTAAAGCGTACGATTGCCTTGTTATCCTAGCAGGGAATCAATTGATAAGCCCCCCGCTGAAAGACAGAAAAACCCCAACGATTCCGTTGCGATTTGAAGCGATGAATCAGCCGAGTGCTTTGAGCCAGTGACTTGGGGGCACTTATTGCGCATCGGTAATCGCCGATATATCATTATAATGTGTGGGTGACACACCAGGGAAGCCATAGAAGTTAACTCCCCCTCAATGCACTCGAAGAAGTCGTAATATTCAATTTATTGTATGCCAAAATCAGGTATGAGAGATAGATGTATTTAAAGAAAGTTAATACTGACTTTGGCACTAAGGGAATGGTTTAGATATATGATTAATTTACCTTTCTAGCAAAATCAAAAAGAAGACCACGTCTTTCTTTCAAGTGCAGGACAGTATGAGGTTTGTAAGCAATTAGAAAAACATGAGCAAACATGAACACAGCAATTGAAGGGCAGGTGAAGTGAAATTTAATACAGGTTCAAAACTCGATTCACGGAAAATTTAGCGGAACAAGGGAGGCGAAACCCTTGAAGCGACCAGCTGTGGTCAGGGGTTAAATGCAAAGGTGATATCCCTTTCAATATTACTCGGTGGCCGAGCTAACAGTCTTGCCCAACTGGTACAAGAACAAGGCTGTTCCGCAGACTTGTAAATCCTCACCGGCATTCTCCTTGATGCTGTCCACCAAGACCACCCCGTACCTGACCACAGCCATGACCAGCATCATTCGCAGATAAAGAAAATTCCTCTCCACAAAGGCCAAAAATCCGAGAGACACTAAGTTACCCAGAATGGTGAGATCCTTCAGACCATCAGATATTTCGCAATCAATGCGATTTTTGGCCAAACAGCACCTCATATCACAGACCAGCGGCAGTATAAAAACGGCATGGCCCAAGGTGACAGCACTCAATCCGGTGGACTGCATATAGAAATCCATGTTGGTCAGCGGCAACGGCACCAGTTCCAGTACTCCGTGCGTTATGTCCCTCAGCTTGCGACACTCCTCTGGCTGACCGCTGGCAAAGACTACCCGGAGGATACCAAACACGGCCGCGATTCCACCCACCACGCAGGCTGCCAGGGCGAAGGGGTGCTCCTCTGGCTGCATTTTACAGGCAGAAGTAACGGCTGTATAGAGAAGGACGCCATTGTAGGCGAAACGCAGCCAGGGACCCGAGAGCGGCTCACTCATTGCCGCTGGTCAAATGCCGGAAGTTATCGAGTTTTGATACCAATTTTGGGAAAAGTTATAATAGAAATGATTTTTGAGGAAGAGAGATATTGACCGAACATATATTTAATTTAAAGAGATGATTAAAAATATTATTAAAAAAATTTAAGTGAGAAATAAAAACTATATTCTTTAATTTCCCCAAAAAATAAAATGAAAATAATGCTAAATAAATATTTATGTAAATTAAAATATAAATTATAATAGCTAAAAAAAATACATATAGATTATTCAATTAAATTCAATTTTGCTTACCTCTTAATAAATAATTACTCAAATATTTAGGTGTTAAGTTTATAAATTGGCGCAGCAGTTTATTAAAATCCTATTTAAAACAAATTTGTAAAATTGTTCAGACGAAATTTCTCTGAAAACAAAATTAAAAAGGTTGGCTTTAATTACAAAGATTAAACAAATGCGAATTATGCGGGTATAAAACGTAAAAACTCACCTGCTGTTATTTGCTTTTATTTCCACACATTATGGTCCTTCAATTAGGCGTAATTCACATATATATTTACATAAGGACATACATGTGTATGTATGTATGAATGTACATGCATTTACAGCGCACAATTTTCGCAAAATGCCCTTACTTTTCACGGCAATAAACTTTTACGCTCTTTTTGCAGTAAGGAAACATATGAGGGATCTGGAAACTCATTTTCCCATTGCTTTAACCTTAACTAAACACAAGGCACACCAGCTTATTAACCTGGCAGCCCACACACATATACATCGCACACATGTACATACGAAGCACACGCACTTTTTACAGTCACCAAATTAAAATGTCCCGAGGAGCACCCTTGGAGCACCCGCAGAAGTACCACGAAACGAACACACAGAAAACGTACGAAAATCCGCGGAAAACGTTGCCGAGTTATTGGTACTACGTGTGGATCAATAATTTTAATTAATTTGTGCTTTTATTGCAACAATTAAACTGCAAACAGAAGCAGCATTTCGACGATGACTTCGCGTTTTTTTTTTCTGACTGAAAGCTGATCCCGTTAATCATTCCCGTCTCTCCCACGCTCTCTCTCGCGCTCTCAATCTTTCCAGTTTTCTGAGCGAAAGATATCGATATCGAGATAAATAAAGAAATGACAAATGGAAATATTGGAAATTCCGTTTTGTTAACCTTTTTTACAGGAATGCGTTTTATAGGTGTGCTTAGGATACTAAGGAATCTGCTAGAGAATGTCCCGTGTTAAATATCCAATATGGAATTTCTGTAATCCCCTCTTTAAAGCTTATGTGTGCCTCTGTGTGTGTGTATGTGTGAGTGTTAGCCCGATGGGATAACGAAGCGAATATGCAACTTGGCAACACTTGAGCATTCCAGGCACGCACCACGCCCCCCGCCCACAACCGCAAGCCATCTCCGTGCTCCCCCAATCTTCTTCCTGTGGAAAGCATAAAGAAAAATAATAATTCAACTTTATTTGTGCCACACATACTTGCACATACCTAAGAGAGGGACAGCAATACAAGGAGGAGGATTCTGTGTAGGAATAGCGGGATCTCTACTCCAGCTGTTCCCTGTCAACACCAAAAACAAGAGCAACAACAACAACAACAACAACAAGAAGCATGGTAAATTTAATCGAAAGCGTGTAATTGACCTCAGTAAATGGCGAGGAATGGGCGTGGAAATGGGAATGGAAATGAAAGTGAGGGATGCCTGGTGGAGTGGGACCGAGTGAGCGGGGGCTTTGTTAGAAGCTTAGCCAACTGCCATCAAATCATTATCAGTTAAATAAACGACAGCCAGCAAGTTAAAAAGATAACGAAGCTGCAGGAGCACAGGCACAAGCAGAAGCTAACAGCAACAGATGATATCTCTCTGCCCCAGAACAGCCCCCATGGCTGCCCCCCCTACCACGCTATGCTACGGCGGCTTTGATTCGGATTCACCTCCTTCCCATGCCACGCCTCTGTCGACCCCTTCCAATAGACAGACGTAAGCCGCCTCGTTTTATGCTAATTCAAATGGAAATGGAGCCAGTCAGCAGCTGCTCGCCGGATTGCGATTCCGATGTGGAAGCTGCACTGGGAGAAAAACATAAAACAAGACCACGTATGCTATTATATACAACAAATTCCCTTGGTAAATCCTTTTCTCAGTGTTCCTGAGATGAGTCGCGGATGAGGGGCACCGCAAGTTGTCAACGGCGTCGCCGTCGTCGAGAGCAAAGGCAAAAGCAAAAGCTCGTTTCATTATGCGACTTGCCTCGGAGTGGGCACAGTGGGCGTGGCTTCTGGCTTTCCTGATCGGGCTCACAGATAGCCCCGGCTACATATGCAGATGTACGGAATGCTGCGGATTCCGGGGCATAGACCACGGACCACGAAAGGAGCCCACCAGGAGCCAGGAGCCAGAAGTTCGAAATGCGAAATACGGAATCCGGAATACTGAACACAGCCAGTGCCCAGGAGCGCTACGCCTGGCATTCCTTGTAAGGCAAATTCGCCATGATTTTCATATAATTTCCGCATCATAAAGCTGCGAAAGTAATTTTCCACTTGAAAGCACAGCGCAGCCAAAAAGTGTGAAGTGAGGAGCTGGGGGCGGACTGAGTTTTGGGCTCTTTTGGTAAAAAGCGGGCCAAAAGGAGGGGTCAGACATTGCACTATGGGGAATTTTGCCATTTCCGTGGTATTTAGTCATTTTATCAAACTTTAAATATTTGAGTTTTTTTTATGTAAACATATTAAAAATATATGGCTCTATAAAATGTAGTACCAGAAATGTTAATTAACAGTGCACTGTTAAGCCTATCCACTGTTAAAGTCGGCTGTTGTAGCCAAAATGCACGTGATTGAAAATAGCTATTTTTTATTCGGTTACTTTGAAAGTGAAAAACTTAAAAGTAGAACCAATTTTTGATTAAAGTTTTGATGGAGACCAATCGTACTGGTAATTATTATTTGTAGTGTGTACTAATATATTGATCTGTGCGTGTCTTACTGATATATTGCGATTTTTCTAAGTGTTCCTCTAAGAAAATTTTTTTGAGAAAATATTTAACTTTAAAGAGACCTATAAAAAATATATGTCTTGGTATTGCTGTACGTCCGATATATGTTGTAGAGGCATTCATTCTAAATAAAAGGCAATTTTTCTCAATGTGCACAAATCCGCACAATCTGCGTAATTTAATTTTTTTTGCAGGTCTTTTCGAGCAAATTTTACCAAGAAAAAACCATTTTCCAAGTTAATTACATATAAATATTAATGTCTCAAATCATTTTACCAGTTTAAAAGGCAAAAGCTAATTTTTTTGCATTAATGTAAGTGCCAAATGGAAGTTATTAGCGAATTTGGAGGCCTGGACCTCTTTTATGAAGAAATTGAATATGAAAATTACGTTTTTTATTTTATATCTGACAAAGAGCTTGAAAATTAAGACAATGTATTTTTTTTTATTATGTTTATAAAATATATTATTTAAAAAAAAGAAAAAATCTCCTTATACACTTAAAAAAATAAAAATAAAAATAAAAAATTCGTCAAGCGAGGGCGGAACCACGCCCATTTTTCCAAAAATCATTTCTTATGGAGTCCATAATTATAATAAAAAAAACCGTTTCGAAATATATTACTTAGTTTAAAAGTTATTAATTAATACCATAAAAATGGACAAATTCCCCATAGTGCATTGGTCCAGGCTAAGACCTCAAGCTGTCTGCAGCTCAGTGTGTGTGTAAGTGTGCGTCTTCTTATGTAAACCCTAGAAGGCAAAAGACCCAGGGTATGTTCCATTGTAACTTGGCCTAGGGTCACAATAGGGCTACCAAAATTGGTATGCAAGGTTATAGGTATATTTTAAAGTGATTTATTTATATTTTTTAAAGAATTTCTTATTTTAAAGCTGTACTTAGAGTAAACAATTAATAATATCTCAGTTACTAATAAGAAAATAATTTTAAATATTTTAGTTACAAATTTTTTTTTTTTTTTTTAAGATATTCTGTATACAATTTCCCAAGTTTCAACTTTAATTTCTTAATTTTCTTATATTTATCCCAGGGTATCATCCAGGTCCCAAGTACTCCCCCTTGTTTGTGTAGTTTTTGTGTCTGTTTGCTATATTGTTCGGTAATGTCGATGATGGTAGCTTGTTTTTTGGCACATTGAACATTTGGTGTTGTCACCTTTTCAGGGGGCAAAGAAGCACATGCAAATAAGCCGGAAAAACAGGACTGAAAACTCAGCGAGGACTGGGAGAAACCAAGGCCAATTCAGGCCGAGATTCCTGGGCATTAAATCGAGACCATCATTGGGAGTGGGGGTGGGAGGGTAACTGGTGGGTGGAGGTAGCAATGACATCTCTTTAAGGCGACATCAGATTAGGCTAAGCAGCTGGGCCAAAGCGAACACACACACACACACACACACACACACAGAACACACAGGGAGATACGACAGCGACAATAGGGAGTGGCAAATTTCATTATGCGGCTCACGTGCGAGACAACCAAATTCACTGGGAAATAAAGAAAGAAAGAAGAAAAAAATGTTGTGGAAAAGAAAAGCGAAAAACGAAAAACAGAGGCGGATAACAACAGGAAAAAATAGGAAGAAAAAGAAAAATAATACAAATACAACACGGGAGGAAGGGAGGGAGGACACTCGGCACAAAATTCACTTAAAAGCTTTACTAAAAACATCTTCATGGTGTTGTACTTGCATTTAAAATCGGAAAAAAATCTCTGTAAATAAGAAATATATTTTTGAAATTAAATTAAGTTGCTGGCTTACAATTTCTGAACCCTTTTTAGAAAATTTTAAAATAAAATTCGTCTTTAGACCTAAAATATAAAATATCGCTTTTATCGAAAATTTCTTAAGCTTTTGTAAAACAATACTTGAGACATTGAAAGATATAATTTTACCCCTAAAAAATATCTGAAAAATGTTATCTAACTTATTTGCTTCTTAACCGATTTTACTGGTCTCAAATATAACAAATTGCATCGATTTATCGCACATAAATCGCAATGTTTTCGATTATATTGATACATTGTCGATA